ACACATGTGTGTATATATGTGTGCGTATATTTGTATGTATACGAATATCTATGCAGAAGGGTATATCGCTATCCCTTAAGGATGCACCATGCATTCAACTCCATTCATTGCATTGTATAGTTGGTCGGTTGAATGCAAACTCGGCATACGCAATAACTTGGGCGGTTGGGGTCTACTGATGTATCAAATGGGTGTTGTTACCCTCCCAGATAGGTCAAGCATCAAGTTGGCCGCTCTTGAGGGACGTAGGGCTTAGTTGTCCAAAGACATGGGGTCAAACCAAAGACTACGTTTACAGTGAAAAACACCGTTAACTGTTGCGCTAAACGTGCCCTTTATGTGCATATGTATGACCAGGGTCCTTATGTGTCAGTGTTTACGGATTCTCGACGTTATTTGAGTCTGTAGGAGCGAATATACATCGAATATATCGATCAACAAACGACAGTCATTCATCTTTTTCTCTTCTTTTCTTTCTTCTCCTTTCTCTATTCTCCCATTGTCTGACTCACGTTCAAGCTATCCATTGTCCTGCGGGATTTTCATTGACGGAACTCATGCAACTCACCTGTTGCGCTAGTCTCACCTCTAATTGTATCGTATGTCTCTATGACGACCAACATCAGATCAATTTTGTAACTGAAAAGTGGATGAAAGTGACAAAAAGAAAAACACTGTGAGTGGTGGCTTTGTAGAAGAAAGAGTTGGACTCTCTAACAATCTTAATGGAGGAATTCTTCACAGAGGAATGGATGGCGTCTCATTAAATGTTTACTTTATTCGCTTATTGATTCATTTCGTCCACCCAGACGTCCATCGGCATAGATGCTTCTCAAATTTTAACCAACAATTGTCTCGTTCATTTTCTGTCTTAAAACATATTCAATAATATTAATAACTTTAGGAATTATTACAATATTTATTAGAATTTCGTTACGGGGTTCATGCTGGGATTTTGTTAGTAAACCAAGTATTTGTGCTAAAAGAGAGGGATTATTGACTTTGGTGGTTTCAGATTTTCTTTTAAAGTATGCTTAGAACCTTTTCATTCAGTTGCCTAGAGAGTTAATCATCATGGTGCTGAGTTTCCTTTTTTGTCCTCTTGGATTACAGAGATGAAAATTTGTCAGCCTGATTAGCACTTACGAATGTCATCATCATAAGGTCATCTCCAATTCCAACTGGCACCAGTGAACAGTGTGGATTATCCATTGTAATAGTCCTGACTAAGCTGTTTAGTGGCTGTTTATTGTTTTGTTTCCGTTCCTACTTCACTCTGAGTAATACGTCAGTGTGAGTTGACGCCAAAAGTGAATGTGGATCAAACTGTTGAACTTCGCCAGCTTTCTAAGCAGAGCTTCATTTTTTCGAACTGGCACTTGTTTTCAAATGAAGCTTTTTATCAGGTTATCATCCCTATGGCGTTTCCTTCTCCCACAATAATCTGAACTCGTTCAAATAGCTGTTACGTAAAATCTTTCGAAGGTGCTCGTAATGTCTACCTTCATCTTTACTTCCTTAGGCTAGAACTCTTTCTTTAATGTTATTTATTTCATCTGAGTTTTCCCTGTCTTCTCTCTTTTATTTTCTACTCTTCTCCGCCTTCTCTTTTTCTTCGTTTTGTTTTCTTCTCTTCTTTCTCCTTCAGCTCTTCTCTGCGCGAAATCATCGACCAACATGATTTACTAAATCCACAGTTTTTGAAAGTATTTTCTGTTGTTTTGATCGCATTAATTATCATTCCTCATTTTTCACCTTTAGTCTTAGGACATTGCAAAAGCATCCAACGAATTTTATGGTTTTTAAGTTTCAGGTGCCTGTGTGTAGCGCAGTGGTTTGAAGTCCTGCATCATGCGCATGAGTTCTGGTTCGAACCCACAGCTCTATCCCTTCATTCTTTCTGATGTTGCAAATTAGTACCAGACTCGTCATGAAAGATAAATACACTGATTCATTACATCGGTGGATCCTCACAATTCATTGTATAGACCAAATAAGCACTAACTTACTGCATCATTAAAACGAATAAGGCGAGCGCTTGACATATCCCTAAAGGATTGGTACACGCCGAAAGCTTTATTCCCTTTATCTCAGTTTTACAAGGACTTTTCCAGTTATACAGCGTTTTTATGCTGCTTATGCGCTTCAACTGATTTTGTGACAATCAGATTCGATCTGTCGTATTTGTTTTTATAGGCGAAACGAATGTGAGCAGTGCTAGTGATATCCTCAACACCTGCTAGCCATATGATCCTTTCCGTCCTCCGCTACCAATACATCAATCGGTCATCTCTGTCATCCATCCATCACCTTCATTTGCGAGTTTTACATGTATTCTTTCCGTTCCTCTGTATTTCTAAGATCCAACCTCGTTGGCTTCTTACGTCAGTGGGACTCCTGCTTTCATCAAACGAAGTTCAGCGTTCATTTTATACCCGTCATTAAATAAATCGTTCATAGGAGTTTTTCTCTATGACGTAATCCCTAGAGAAAACAACACCTCATTCTGAGAGACATCCTTCATTCCGTTGCCTCCCTCTATCTGTTGTGGACGATCGACTTCTCGTTTTCCAGAAACTTCTCTCCGTAGTTTACCGCTTTCTTCTTTCATCATTTTCCATATTATTTACCTTGTACCAATGCTGATCCTTTGTGCCATTCTCATCTTACAAATCTTTTTTGCGTCCTTCTTCGGTTATAACGTGTTTTTATTTTCTTTCTTTTTGTTCTAAAAATCAGCAGTAGAGAGAAACTGGGCCGATAGATCTAGTGAAATTTTTCTTAAGTTTTTTTTACGATGTAATCGAAGGGGAGATAACTGATCGTTAGAAAACTAATTGAAATCATTGTAGAGAAATGATGGCATTGTGGCCGTTCTTCCTTCTTCCTCAGCTAATTGCCGAATCTCCAGATTCTCCCAACGAATTACATCAGGTCTGAACAGAAGCTAGTAGGAACTTAAAACTCTTTTTAATCAAAACATCGGTGGGATTTCATAATAGAGGTTTAAATAGGTGGTTCAAGCGCTAAATCTTAACTTTAAATAAATGTTAATGATATAAAACAGTGGAAGCGGATAACACATTGGGAGTGATATCCGTTATCACGAGCAAAGTGCTACTTCGATTCCGCTCAGGTCCAACCAAGCCTCTCATCTCTCCGGTGTCGGGAAATTAGTACTGAATTTCTCTGGGAAAAAATCACTTACTGTGATCCAATTGGGAGCGTTCCAGCCTGGCTATGTCAGGACTCCAGGGAGAATTACTCCACCAGCACTCTACAATATTCAAGATGAAATGGAAATCTTCAAGCAGCAACTGAAGCCACACGTAAAAATTGGAAGATCTCTGTGGAAAATGGATGCGAGGAAACAAATCGAATGTGAGAAATGCTGAGGTCCCCACAGTAGACGTGAAGACGGATCAAATAAAATGAAGAAAAATAAAAATATGAAACAAATGATCGCTTAGAGTAGTTCCACGGAAAATGAGGGTACTTGTCATCTCATAGGTATTTTTGTGTGGACTTCTGGTCCAATTTTTCTAATCGTGCTTCAAAAATGTCTCTACTATGTAGAAATATTTTATACGAAGCATAGTAAACGATAGTTGAACTCTTTGTGTTACTTTTTAGCCGACGAATGGAGCAGTGCTTAGTTTAATGACAAAGCTGAAGACCGCTGTTGCTGTTGAAAATTTTCTAGAAAGAAGAAAAAATGATGGAAAGAGATCTTATTAAGTAAGGCGTCAGCGTTCTTTTTTCTGAAAAAGCTGATGAGCACTCGATGTTTGGTGTCGGCGGCTCCATCAGAGGAGAAAAAAGTTTTTAATTTATTAGACATTCGCTTTCATTCGCAGTTGTTCAGTTCAGGATAATGAAAATATGATCACGATAGCTCATTCCGTACGTTATTCCCACTTTTTTCATTTTTTTTTGCTTAATTAGCACTGCGAAATTTCTTTCTTTAATGAATCGCCATCAGGAAAGTTTTAAGCGTTTTTGTTATCCGTAATGAGTTTTTATTGATTAGAAGTAGAGCAAAAACTTTCGAATCACCTTGAAAAATAAGCATTATTTTTATTTAGTTAATCATAAAATCACCAGTATGGGCACACGAAAAGAGTAGAAGGAAGGAGACTTAAAACTGAAAGTAGTAATTGGTCATTTCCAACAGCTACGAAACTCTAGGTGCTTAGGGTGAGCATAGGGAAGAACCATGTCCCCAAACAATAACTCTGGCGATAATAAAGTCCCGCTCATCCTGCCGTTCATGTCCAACGAGATGAGCAGAACGGTAAAACTTTGGTTAAGAAGCGCCGGTCTCTGCGGCTTGATAATCAAGGAAAAAAAGTTGTTCACTAAACTTCATTGTTGTTTTCTTATCGTATTAAAGCTGTCACGGAGCGCAGCGCAATGACTACCTGGTATCTCATGTAGACGTCTCCAGTTCGATTGCCGTTGCCTTTGACCAGACGCACAGTTTATGCCTATGTGGACCAAGTGGTCCGCTTAGAGTTGCAGTCTGACGTATTCACCAATTTGGCCCTAAAAATTACGGCGTAAGCAAAGTCCGCGCCAACTGCCAGAGACGATTTATATATATAGGTGACACGGGTGTGGTAATGTCCCTCTGTAAGGATGTGTCATGTTGAAGATTTAGTCATACATCGCTTATTTTTGTGGCTGATGTAGCACAGTACTTAGAGTTGCTCTAAAATACACGTAGTCAGTGGGATGCATGGCTTCGTGCGCCCCGGTTTGATCCCACACCGGGGCGTACGAAGCCATACATCCCACTGACTAGATAGAGCGCCGGGTCGTTGTAGGTCATTGCTAGAGGCCAAATATACGTCCGCTCACTTCAGCGATGCTACGAATAACATCGACTGGACGAAGAATTTCTGAGGTAGATATATTTATTTATATGATCTTATAAACTGATCTTCTTTAGCTGATGCGAGGTTGGTGTAGGTCGTCGTTGTCGTTGTCGTTGTTGTCGTCGTTGCTGTTGGTGTCGTTGGTCGATGGCTGACGTGTCGCCGATTTCGCCTTCCTCAAAGCCTGGGTGTATTTTATATAAGAATGCTTTAATTATTCGGTGGAAAAAAGGCTGAAGTATTAATGAAGATCAAACTTTTAAGTAGGCACCATATTGAACAGAAAGGCTACTCACCGTGATGTCACAAGTAGGACTAGCCCACTCGTTGTTCACGTTTTTCATTCATAAAACAAATGTCTCACTTTCACTCGTAACCTGGCGCCCTATTTCAAAATGATATTTTTACCCCTAGGTGTGCCTCGCTCGCGACCCCGCTTGAACAACGCTTTGACCAGTCCCACTCGTAACATCATGGTGGGTAGCCTTTCTATTCAATATGGCGTCTATCTAAAAGTTTGATCTTTATTAATACTTTAGTCTTTTTCTCCACCGAATAATTAGAGTATTCTTATATAAAATACGTCCAGGCTCTGAGGAAGGCGAAGTCGTTGAAACGTCAGCCATCGTCTAACAACACCAACAGCAACGACAACAACAACGAAGACCTATATCAACCTTGCATCAGCTAAAGATCAGTTTATAAGATCATATAAATTAATATGTCAGCTATCTATGCCGAGGTTTATAGAAAGTCGGTTTTTTGGATTTCTAAGGTATTCACCAACGTGAGACGCTTTACTCACCTTGTACCCTCTTACTGCTTTTTCTTTGTTTAACTTGATGATGTTTAACTTGACCTTACTGTATAATCAATGGCTTCAAGGCTCTGTATTGGGTTACAAAGAGCTGTTTATTTCTAGGAATTGGCTCAAAAAGCGGTCGATAACTACAATGAAAAGTCGAACGATCTCTACAGATGGGATATTTATTCGATCGATGATGTTCAACAGAAAATGCACAACGGAATTCAGTACAACATGAAACTGACGTTAGTCCAAACCAACTGCCGGAAAATGGTGAGTGTGAGTTCTCCGCCGGGTTTGTCGGCCCTGACCTATCATATCGTTGGCCATTAGTTGGCCAAGACGTTGCTGTAGATGTCTTTCCTAGCCTCTCTTATTACTCATATTCTCACTTATGTTAATTTTCTACCAGAAATACTCAGAGTGCAGTATCGTTTATTTTTAATTTAGTATACCTGGTTAACAACTTACAGCAATGTCATTATTCAGGTAAAGCCTATTTCATAACCATTATGATGTAAAAATAACGGAACCTATAGAGTAGTAGCATACTTGAAATATTCACTATTAATCGAAAGCTCCCCGCAGCAGTCCTTAGCCAGGCTGATCTCGGGATCCCAGGGAACCACAGTGGCTCAGCCGATAAGTTTCCAAAAAAAAAAATGAAAGAAAAGTGGAGATTGTGCTGGCGCCCGCACAACTAGTGAAGACAAGCCGTCCAAATATCTAAGTAAGTAAGTCGAAAGCTTCCAAACAGTATTACTCGAAGTTCCTTGCTGTTTTTTAAATCGCAAAACAATGTTCCGTTTGTTCTGAAGTCTGAGTTGTTTTTCTGGAACAAATGACGTCCACTTCTAGATGTTCTTTCCTAAGAAAGCTATAATAGGGATATGGTTTCAAAATCTTCAAGACAAAAATAAATTTTGCTTCTAAATTTTCTTTGTTGTGATTCAATTCCGAAGGACGATAATGGGCTACGCGCTCGGCTTTGGGGGTTAACATTAACGGAGAGCTTCAGTGACAACTTCATTTCTAATCGACGTTGTCTTCGTCACAATTCAATTGTATTCTGGCTCTTTCACACTCTGCTTATACGGGCGACGTCCTTCCACCTCGTTGTTTAGAATTCAGGAAGTCGAAGCCCACTAAAGCTTTTTATGATCCAGCTATTTGAGCTGTTGGTTTACATATGTACTTTGCCTGGAGTATAGCTGGAGTATTAGGATGGGAACGCCACGACTGCCAGATACTGACCTGGGTCTTGGAAGTGAATATTGGACTGTGAGCAGCAACCCGTCTCTAAACTTTTTCGCGTTCACTGGACTAGAAAATTATTGCTGATTCTGAACTGTCGAAGACAGTCAGTTCCTTAAAGGACACAGCTCTAGGCGCATACATGTGAACGCAACTGTACAGTGATACACTAACATATATTCAAATACAGACTTATTTGAAAATATATGCGTTTTATTCAAGTTGATTGTTGCGTAGTGGTTAGAGGTGCTTTGAGGTATATAAACGATTTCTGGATCGATTCCACGCCTTGAGCAAACTGGCTACCTGTTCCACGTTGGTTGCTGAATTGGTAGCTGGCTTATCTGATATGGTAAAAATACCAAGTTGTATTCATCAGTAGGCCTTTAAGCCATTGTGGAAGCCAAATATGCACCCAATCACTTGTACGATGCTACGAGTGGAGTGAAATGCACGGTCGAACTCTAGAGTAAACCAAAGGCTGTGTGCTTTATCTTCTATGCGATGTTACTATGTTGGACCAATTAGATCAACATGATCCGTCGGTGTCATTGCTGACAAACATAATTGCTTTTCGGCCGTATATTGTTAGCTTTAGTCTGATTACTGTTGAGCCATAAAACTATTTTCGTCTTTAAAAGTAGGATTAAATAATGTTGTTCGACTTTTTTTTTGTTGAATATCAACAAGTTGTGATCGATAACTGTTTAGGGTAACCCGATGGCTCTCAACGATTGCAAGCAAACAGATCGATTACAGGTTGGTATGTTAGGAGATTTGTTCCTTTTTTTATGATTTGTTCTTTGTTCCCGATGAACGCGTCGTGGTCAAGTTGTTCCTGTTGAGAATCCCAAACCCGGATTTCCGTTCGCAGCGTAGACATTCGCGGCATTTCTCCACGAGCAGCATCGAGAAGCAATTTAAATTGCTAGGGAGCGAGTTTTTCACGCTGTCACAGTTCGGATTGTTTTCTCCTTTTTTCTTTCTGCATCGGAACAAGTAACCCGAAAATTAGCAATAGTACCTTAACAAGGGACGTTATAAGTAAAAAGAATGAGGTTCATCTCTACTTGAGCTTATCTAGTGGATTGTGAAGAACATCTTAATAGTTGAGTGATCCCTTCTCACGAAACATCTCGTGGACTCCAGAGAATTTGCTGCTTCGCTGAAATTTTGTTGCTTAGGACAGAGTTTCTGTTCTTTCGAATTCTCAAAAATGCAGTGGAATGCCCCTTCAGTCTCCGGTAACAAGATTGAGATTAATACAAACTATTTTAACAAGGCATAGGATTAACAGCTGATACAGTACTAGGATTAGAAAAAAAGAAGCTGTTAATCTTAATACGTAGACAACTTGTCTTCAACGTCTTTCCATATCCTAGAAATTTGTCCATTTTTCTTTCGTTGTCTTTCTTACAATTGTCCTCTATAGAGATGGTCGGGTTCACGCAAGTCAGCGAGAGGTTTTATCGTCTGCTTTCTTCATTAATATAGTGAACAAAATGCTGATTGAACATAATTTTCCTGGAATCTCGATATAATAGGATCAGCGAGTCCTCAGGACCTTGCAATGGATAGTCGCTGGCCATCGTGGATCAGATGGAGTTGTGATATTTTGAACCTAGGATCCTACTAGGACTTCAACGATTCCTGGAATTAATCGACTGGGCGATCTAACACACTGTAACATGGAGAATTCATCAAGTTTCTTCATCCTTATGATTGATAATTTATTCACTAATAGTAAGCGTGGGATTTAATCCATGAATTCACTGTAAACAGTTTGTGCACTTATATCTTCTCAAGAGAAAAAGGTTAGCAACGGGAAGTTTTCTTTAATAAAATATGTACCTGGAAGAGAAGAGACTGGAAAGACCATGACTTCAAAATTTAGGAAAAAACACATTAAATACAACGAAGTTAAGGGACCATTCTAACAAAGCAGAGTTACCCAAAAAAAAATCGGAAATGGCGCGTGTAGCGCAGTAGTTGGAGGCGCAACTGCTACACACGCGTGGAATCGATCCGCGCGCCCATGGCCCACCAAACCTTCCATCCCTCCGGGGTCGGTAAGTTGGTACCAGACTTGTCTGGGTGGATAGTAGCACTGGCTCGATGCATTGGTAGACCACCCGTGATTCATTGTAAAGGCCAGATATGCTTTCAATCACCTCCAGCGATACTTAATGAAGTCGAATGCATGGCTCATCCCTCAAGGATTGATCAACGCTGAGAGCTTTATCTTTTATTACCCAGAAAAGATCACTGAAAAAGCGATATTTAAGCGAGGAATATGAATTGTCGACCACCTCAGTTCTCCTTTTTGAAAAAAAAGTATCTGCTAACATGAGAAGTTATTGAATGTTTTCCGATAAATGATAGAAATATCCCTACCACGTGGATGACATTGGTGCTTGGTGCTCTAATATCGTCCAAACCTCTGAAATGTTTTTATCTCTATTCGCTATGAGAAAAATCCTCTCCCACATTGGCGGTTTTGTATCAAAAGTTATACCTGGCAATGATTGTTCTACATGCTCACAAAAGACCACGTTTTCAAAGGAACGCACATTTTTGAATTACAGTTGACGATACCAGTCAGTTGTTGTTCTTGTTGTTCAGTATCGGACATGGCTAAAATCTTTGCATACATTTGATTTTTAAGTTTTTTTTCCGTTCCTTACTTCACATTTTCGAATATTCTACGTAGGAAGAGCCCCACACCAGAATCACCTATCCCTAAACTCGAAAATTTGTGTCGCAGCACGGCCACAGTCGCTGAATGCTCTCATTCCGAGCCCTTATTCATGTTTTTGTTGTCATCTGTACAATTTCTCGATTTCTCATGATTCTCAGCTTTGCTCGGTTTTGAGGATAGTGTTGGCTTATCAAGGTAGATTACAATTCATGAACAAGCCAAGACTACCACTGCTGGTGGGACCAATGGAAAATTTACTGTTGTTTAACCCAGTTACTCGATAATTAGTGAAATTATCGACAGTATAGGTGATAATTAACTTTTCGTTCTGACACTTTTTGGAACCATTTTGAAGGTTGTTAGGCCCAACACATGCCGGACTATTTCAAATCTTCTGTGAAGACCGCTTGACACTACGTGTAGTCTCCCGCCGCCCACGACTTGTATTGAAATCGATGGATCTAAGGTTTTTGATATTTTATGCAGTACAGGGAATAGTTTTTCGATAGAACACATCTGATCCGATACATTATTGCACGAATTATCCACTCAATACAAAAAGCATAGCCGGTAAACCTTCTGCATAAATAAAAAGCCTGAGAAATATGCATTGAGACCAACGCATAAGTCACCATGAGTTCGCTCATTTTTTCGCTTTTTACAGAAATGCATTGCCAAAGGTGAGCATCGTGCTTGGGAGAACTATGAGAACGTCGAGATTCGTCATTGTGCAGAACCGTTCCGAAGAACGAAGCGGATGATTAGAATGATGTGAGCACCTGTGTTATTCAGCATCGGACGTTTCTCAAAACGAAATAAAAACTATGCGGTATTTTAAGACAAAACATGATAACAGGGCAAATCAGGTCTAGAAAATCTTCGGAATTACCATCAGGTGACACATTTCCAAATATTTTGCCGAACACTAGAGAAGATAATGGGAAAGCCAGCACCGTTTATCGGGGACCTGTCTTGATAAAGTAACTTTTGTATGGTTTTTTTTCGGAAAAAGAGAAAATCGTACTGGACGAACTCTTTATTTTCTTATGCTCTCACACATTGATGTATTCACATATAGCCTTCTGTTCAGAAGCAATCGATGGTCGAAAAATCAAAGAAATTTGCGGTGGAGAAGTCACTAAATTTCTATGCGCATCAGTTTTTGGTGGATTCTATTCCTCACATTTTCTACTGTACAAAAATAACTCTTCCTTACCCAGGAACCTTGGAAATTAATTCAACTCTAGATCTAATCGGCCATCTGTAACTCCTTTCGTTCATTAGTTTGTTTGTTGCACGCTTTTGTTTTATAGCCATTTTTTTCTGGAAAAAGGGGTTAGAAACAAACTAGAGTTCACCGCAACTTTTTATAAGCAATGAATGTTCCTGGAATTTTAAGTGCAACTAAAACCTATGTGAAAACAATTACAGCGTCAAGTCCACTACTCATTACTAAAGTTTTACTCAGCATCGTTTTTTTAATTCTACCCATGTTTAGCATCTAGTCGTTTGTTTTTACTGTTCTTTCCGAGGAATGATTTGCTGAACTCCGTCGTAGCTTAAGCGGGTTTCAGGATGGAATAAGCGGACTCCTTCTTGGCTCTTATATCGCAGTTGAAGAATAAACTATTTAGTTGGCATTGTGCTCCCAACGGTTTACCGCCTCATAGTGGCTGGGAGGTGTTTCTGGGTGCCGGACTGCGATGTACAACAGAGGGATTCGTCCCCCGGCAGTGTTTCCTAGCTGAAAATGAGTCCGGCGTTCCCATCAGGAAGCCTAGCTAAGAGTAAATCAATACCAGGACCCACCACCGTCCTGGTATCAAAGTCGCATGGTGGCAAATCTCCCTCTGATCCACACGAGCTGCAACTGTCCTCGGGATTCCAGGAAACCACAATGGCTTAACCAGCAAATCTCCGAAAAATGGTGATTATGCTGGAGCCCGCACAACTAGTGAGGACGGGCCGTTCAAGTATCAAGTTCAAGTGGGCATTGTAATTGGATACCCATGAACACCACAAGCAGAGCCATTGAGGCGCTAACGATTTACGAGAGAAGTACTACTACTAGTTACAAATGTAACACTGGTATCTCGTGAAGCGCAATAGTTAGAGATTCCATAAAAATAATACATTCATATCCTTTGGTTCAACCCCACTCTGGTTTAACCTTGAATGTCATCTCTCCGAAGTTGTCAGGTTGACGCAATACTTGTTTTTGAAAAAAAATTTCTGATTTAGAAGGAAGGCACTCTGATGAGCACCTTTGAGCAGTCTAGAATTGCTGGTGAAGAGTTCCAAGGAAAATAAACTCGGCCAGTATTCGTCAACATTCATGAAGAAGGCAGAGTCCTCAAGTGTTACCCAAATCTAATAGAAAATTGGAAAACCTCCGAAGACGATGCATACGATGAAACGAAGCAAAATGAAAGAGGTCCTGGGACTCGCATAATGAGTGATTTGGGGTCAAATAAAACGTAAAACAATACATGTAGCGGTAAAGCATCGATCAAGATAATAATATAGTAGGCAAAATAAAGATATTGGCAGTGTAAAGGTAAAACTCTTGAGAGCGAAAAGAACATGCGCTCTGTGAAGATGGCCTTTCTGTTTCTGCATTTCTCTTGGTTTGCAGACGAATAGAAACTATTTGCACCAGCATATCGCGTCGTGACCGTTTTATTTACTATTTTTTTTCGATTGTCTTCAGTGAAGCCAGAGTTTCAAATCCATTTGATGGAAGCCTATGATTACAAAAATATAGACGTATGCATCGTTAACACTTTGTAAACCAATCACAGAACGCTTGAGTGGTGAAAGTATGAAGCCTTTGAAGTCGATTCCTTACGAAAGTGTCTTGCATTCGACTCCATTCGTATCGTCGTAGAAGCTATTGAATTCGTAGTTGACCTCTGCCTTGACATGTGGGTAACCTACCGATGCATAAAATCACTATTTCTATCCTCCAAGTCCGATATCAGTCTGTTAATCGCTTAAGAAAGCCGGGCGCGGGATCTGAGAAACCACGATCCCTTATATTTTTCAAGCCACCTCTAGTCACTGCGTTAGCCATCCTCGTTTTACTAATACCGTATGAAGTACAACTAGCGTCGACAACATCGAATCCGACTTTCGAAAAATATTCTGCCTCAATGGTCAGGAAGAACATCCTCTCTACGGGATATGTAGATATGTCATGTCGATATATGAAAACTCGATGGTGAACAGAGATGAGTGGAGTGGATTCTTAAAGGGTGCAGGCGTCCTGATTGAGTGCCGGCTACTAAAGGGCTGATGTACTCACTCAGCGCTGGATATGAGTTGTAGGCAAACACTTTGCTTAGTAGTACTTCAAGGATTCACAGAGTCATTCACAACACTCAATCGTCCAAGTAACATATCCATCTGAAGTGTTTGTTATAGTTGTGAGGTCTACTTCCGTTACGGAAAATCAACAAATCATATGTGATTCTGAAGAGAAAAAATGACTGGAAATGAAACAACCAGTGGATAAATCACCTTTTTCACTACGCCCAACCTCACATCCATAAAATTGTCTGCTAAACGGTTGTTAAATGTTGTGAATTATGAGACGATTTGCGTTGAACTTCACTTATTAAGGCACACTCCATCGGAACAAATGAAAATGTGGCGTCACATTAAACCCAAGGATTTTGTGGCCTGGAATCAGTTCACCGATTTTCTCGAAAGGTCCAGCTTTTCATTCTCATTCTCAATACCAATTTTTTTTTGCTTATTTTTCAATTCCTATTATTCCTTCTTCTCTGATTTCAGATATAACAAGGCACATAGCGATAAACATGAGACATTGAAACGATTCCGAATTTTCAAACGGAATCTGAAGGTACTAATTTTAGCACATGGATTCATCAGTACAGTAAAAATGAACTAAAGTAAATTTGAAAAGCCGTTAGGGTTGAAATCGGACGAAAAGGCAGTAATGCCACATCGTCGACATAGTTAGCAACCAGTACCTAAGACCACTGTGCTCGAAGACCCACTGAAAGCTGCATTCTTGAATCTGCGCCTCAATCTGCGTTTTTTCCCGCCCATGCGGATGCGTCGCAACTGTCGATAATTGCAATGATCAGGCAGTGGTCTTCACTCTCTGCGTGACTGTTTTCACTTAGTAAAGGGTTTCTGTAGTAAGCCATTATCTTATCATCTATGGTAGAACGAGAGCAAACAAAACGGGAAGAAAATTGATAAGCTAATCAGTAAAATCACATGCTATTAGGTGGAAAATGGGAGAATTAACTTAGGAATTAAACGGCATAAAAGAAAAAAAATTATTTTAACGAAATGTCCCTTGAGGCTTTTAAAGAGGCAGATGACAAATTCAGGTAATTCGATTATGGCAAGAAAGAGAAGAAGGAACGGCAGTGTATGGAATTACACAATTTTCCGACCTCACAGCCGATGAGTTTAAGAAGGTTAGTGCTAGGAAATCAATACCATTGGATTACAGTAGAAAAAATCGATAAGAACAGATATTTTCATGTTATGTAGAAATTATCGCGAGAACCTGAAAGCTACGCGGTTTTTTGTTACTACCCAGATGTCGCCACTGCAACACACATATGGAATCGATCTCCGCGCCCATGGCCCACCAACCCTTTCACCCCTCCGGAGTCGGAAAATTGGTACCAGACTTGTCTGGGAGGATAGCAGCACTGGCTCGATACATCGGTAGGCCACACCGAGTCAATGCAAAGGCCAGATATGTATTCAGTCACCTCCAACGATGTTTGATGAAGTCGAATACATGGTGCATCCCTCAGAGATTGATCAACGCCGAGAGCTTTATCCTTTTCTTATCCAAATATCTCTCGCGCAAGTGATATTTGTTACTGGAGAAGTTGATGATGATATGGAATCCTGGGGGTCTTTTTTGCATGAAGTACCATAAAAATCTAAACTTTTAAAGCATTTCAGCAAGCTGTTAGCTTTTTGAGTTCTTCCACTTTGGCAATTAGATATTCTTGAATATGCTGGAAGTATAACTCGTATGAAGTGCTGAGATATCTGCAAAACTCCGGACCACAGGTGTATGCAGTGGAGAACGAACACGCGCTGTTGTCCTTACCGGGGAGCAGCGCACTACACCATCCGGACCCGGATAGGTAAGGACAACAGCGCGTGTTCGTTCTCCACTGCATACACCTGTGGTCCGGAGTTTTGCAGATATCTCAGCACTTCATACGAGTTATATTTCACAACATACTCTGCCATTAAGAAGAAAAAGGCAGTAAATAAAAGAGTTAAGATTATGCTGGAAGTCTTGAGAAAAATCAGAAGCTACTTCGCTCAAAAATCACGAAGAAGTTCTCAGATGTCTTCTTATTTAGGTGGAGGTGAAAGATAAAGAAGAAAAATATTTCGCTGCGCTTGACCTGATGAATATTTCAGATTTATCTGCCGAACATTTGGGATCAACCAATTTTCCCTAATAAAATCGTCGATTTGGAAGCTGAGGGAATAAACGTGACAGACGACTACCCAGATTCTTTCGACTGGCGCGAACACGGCGCCGTCACCGAAGTGAAAAATCAGGGTGCCTCGTAAAAACAATTCTTTTTTAACTTTTTCTTTTTCTATAAGCCGTTAAAACACGTAAAACTAACACATATATTTGCTTGAGGAAAGGTTAATACAGGCGAAAGGTTTTAACGTTGAACAATTCCTTAGGGATGCTCCATGCATTTGATTCAATTCGTAGCATCGTAAAGGTAACCGAATTCATATTTGAGTATGTAGTGTAACTTTCAATAGCCAACTAACATAACAAGCATATGTTTTCAATTTTGTGAAAGATAAGTGGAAATACGGAACTGTCTTGTTGCGTTTCATTGATGAAAGTTTTTTCTACAACACGAATCTCTCTCATATCCACGCAACACGGATCTCGTTCACATGAGAAATCTCGAGCCGGTTAGTCGCGAGGCTAAGTGGTGCGTCACCAGGTGGTGGATAGAGAGTTAATCGTGGACCAAAAGCGAACTTGCTTCCCTGAGAGGCAGGTGGATACAGGGATGGACTCTCTGTTTCTGCCCCGCTGATTTGGCATATACTTTCTTTATTTGCTAGGCGTATTCAAGCATGCGTGTGTGGACGCGTTCTTGCTTATGCGGATTGTATTCTAAGAGTCAATTCGACCAAAAGCCTGCAATCAAGTGACAGCGAAGTACATGGGAGGCGATTAGGAATCTCCTCCAACAAATAAGCTTTAGGTCCACTCTGGGAGAGCCTGTAAAGCTACCCGTGAGCATATTCAGCTCCCATCTTCAGAGTCAGCAAGCTATACATGGGTATCAAAAAGCTAAAAACAATAAAAGAAACGGCGCCATTCCCTGACACCGAAAGAGTCCCCAATTCGGCAGCGTTGGGCAGGACGAGTACGGAGAGGCTGCTAAAATCTCAGGACCAATGGAAGCTGCCTGGATTACAAAGAACTATTGTGACGATCTGTCCCTGCAATGCACGTACACTTGCATCCGACTCCTCGATAGAGGACTTCCTCATGCAAGCAAGAAGGATAAGGTATGACGTCTCAGACGAGACGACACCACCATGACACCGGAGAAGAACTGTTCTTCGGAACGTGCGACAATAGAGGAGTCGGCGGCGTCGGCGTTCTCGTCAACACGAGTTTGTCCATGAACATCGATTTATTCTAACAGTTAGCAACCCGAATCGGACGTTTACGATTAAGAAGACGTGGATCAATTCCGGCTTTGACAATCTTCGTCGTTTACGTGCCGACATCAAACTATGACGAAGAAGAAATCGAAGCGCTCTATATGAACTTGGAGAAGTTCTACAGAGAAGACCACACATTCTTCAAGGTCATCAGTGGAGATTTCAACGGCAAGATTGGACCAAGAAGAACGTCTGATGAACGTCACAATGGGACCCAGGGATTAGAATGGAACGAAAGTGTGAGCGGCTGTCTGAGCTTATCGCGGCGACCAAGGCTATCCACGGAAACTCGCAATTCCAGAAGCCCCATCCTGAGCGCTGGAAGTGGGGGTCTCCGAATGGAGAGTACCATAACGAAATAGACCACATCATAGTAATTAGGTTTTCTCTAACCGATGTCGCTGTTATTCCAAAATTCTACGCTGGATCAGATCACAGCCTCCTTCTTGCAAGATTCTATTTCTCGCGGAAAGGAGAAAAAGCCGCTAAATTCCAAAACCGAAATCCCAGAACCACCCTAAACTGGATTCTATTCAATTCATTAGTCACCTATTGGGAAGATGCCGTTGTCGATGACATCGACGAAGAATACGGTCGGCTCATTCAACGTCTTCACGTTAGCGCTATGAAAGCCGAGAGTTCGAAAGTCACGAAGAGACGTCTTTCTCCAGAAACACTCGAGCTGATACGCCAACATGGAATCGCACGAGCTGCAGGCAACCGCTAGCTAACATCCGAACTTGTAAAACAATGCAGAGAGGCCATAAAAAATGATCTTAGAGAGAGAAGAGCAGCAGTAATGGCCGAAGTTGCAGAGGCTGGGAAAAGCATTCGCAAAGCCCACCGAAGCTTCGCCAATTACAAAACCAGAATGTTTGCTCTCCGGCGCCCAGACGGAACAGTTATAGCGCCTAGAAAGGTAATGGAGAAAATCATTCACGAATACTACTCGGATCTCGTCGATAGCCACGTCCACTTTCCGTCATATGAAATAAAAGAGGATGGATATGCTGTACCACCGCTTCTCCCTTCCGAAAACCGACATGCCATTTCGTCGGTGAAAAATCGAACAGCACCAGGTCCGACAAGATAAGACCAGAACACCTGAAGAACCTTCCGCCAGTCCTCATAAACACACTGACTCGGTTTTTCACACGTTACCTATCTAATTGCAAAGTCCCTACTCAATGGAAGAGTTATTGTTCAAGAATGGTGACCTACACGATATCGGCAACTATCGCTCAATCTGCGTGCTGTCTGTCGTCTACAAACTTTTCACTCGAGTCATCCTAAACAGGATAGACAGAACATTGGACGAAGGACAGTCATGTGAGCAAGCAAGGTTTCAAAAAGGATTTCATCGAAGTATCGCAAGAGTACAAAAGACCGCTCTGTCTCACTTTCATCGATTTACAGAAAGCCTTTAACTCAGCTGAGATAGAAACAGTTATGTGAACCTTTGATAGCCAAGGAGTCCCTACTCAATGCATAAAGGCTCTTCGTGAGTTGTACAAAAATTTCGCAACCAAGGTATCACCATTCTACAACGATATTAACACTGACGTCAAAAGGGGAGTGAGGCAAGGCAATACCGTCTCGCCAAAATTATTTACCACCACCTCCTGGACGTCATGCGAACATTGGAATGGGATAATATGAGAATGAAAATGGATGGCCGGCAGATACATCAACTTCGCTTTACTAATGACATCGTCGTTATAACCCCAAACGTTAGCCAAGCGGAACGTATACTTGCCGACTTTGATAAAGCCTGTGGAAAGATTGGTCTTCGACTAAGTTTCGCAGAAATGATGTTCATGAGGAACGGATTGGCTTCGCATGCCCCATTCACGCTCAACGGAACGAACATCTCTGAATGATCCAGTTATATCTATTTAGGTCGAGTTATCAATATGATAAACGACTTAGCTCCAGAGCTGAGCAGAAGGAAACGAGCGGCTTGGGGAGCTTTCAAAAGCATCGAGTATGCAGTGAAGAAGACAAAGAACATCCCATTCCTTGCCCACCTTTTCGACTGAACAGTACTTCCTGCCGTAGCATATAAGTTAGAAACTTGGTCACTGCGTAGGCAGGATGAAAGGTCACTCAGCGTTATCAGACGCGCAGTCGAATGGACGATGCTAGGAGTATCTTGTTACACAGGTAAGGGATGGGTTCCGAGGCTCCGTCCTGCGTCAACTATCAAAAATCAAAAATGCCGTTTTGTACTTCTAACAGTCGAAGATAAGGTAGGCCGGTCACGTAATGCGTGTGAATGACAGCCGATGGACAAGAGCCGTTAGTGACTGTATTCCTCGGAATGTCAAACGTACTTCAGGAAGACCACCGACTCCGATGGTTAGAGTTCTTCACCAAGTGCTTAGAAGAAAGGTATAGTGCTCGAAGGGTCCCTAGAGCGAGCAAGGCCCATTGGGCTACTCTTGTACGCTACAGGGAAAAATGGAAGATCTACTCGCGCTCACTCGAGTCACTCGACGATCAACGGAACTACAGGTGGTACAGGTTATGTTTTGGCGGCGCATAGCGCAGTGCAAGGAGTGGTAAATGATTATGCGATCGTATTGGTTCGACCGCCATTAGTGCTTGTATGACTGGTATCATCGAAAGTGGTAGACTTATTTAAAATTGTTGAGCTTTAGAAGATAAAAGCCTTCTACTTTCTTTGCACTATGTGCTTTTTTTACATATTTGTAGACGTGAAAACTTCAGTTCACTTCCTTTTTCAGGAAACTGTGGAAGTTGTTGGGCTTTCTCGACGACAGGTAATATCGAAGGACAATGGTTTTTAGCTAAGAAGAAACTCGTGTCGTTATCCGAACAAGAGCTTGTCGACTGTGATATAATAGATCAAGGTTGTAACGGTGGACTTCCAAGCCAAGCCTACAGGCAATTTCAACCTATTCCTTGCGATCGTTTTTCATAAGCTTTGTTTAGAACGAATTTGATATTATTAAAGATATAAAGAAAAACAAAAGGATAAAATAAAAGATAAAGCACTCGGCGTTGATCAATCCCTGACCTGCACCATGCATGCGACTTCATTAAGCGTAGTATGAAGGTTATTGAATGGACATCTGGTCTTTACAATGACCTACGGTGGCCTAACGATGTAACGAGCCAGTGCTAATCCTCCCAGAGAAGTCCAGCACCACCTTGCTGTCCTGGGGGATGGAAGGCTTGGTAGGCCAGGGACGTGGCAATCGATCTCATGTGTATTGCAGGGCGACCACTGCGCCACAGGCGCCACGCGAAGAAAATTAGCGGTAGCAACTCAGTGTGTCATCTGAACATAAGCTTAAGAAGGACTTCCGATTTAATAGTGCAAAGATGATAAGTTTTCGAGGCAGCTAAGTAAGTCCTGGTCACGGAAGTCGTGGACATCTATCGAAAGATGCAATGACCACCTGAAAAAGGTAATGAATGCCGCCTGTCTAAGAAGTACTCGATGGAAACTGAACTGTAATATGAATTCGTCGTTCTCTTGTTTAGCAATCTCGAAGTTTTTAACCAGCATACATTTACTTCCTTAGAAAAACACAATACAATACAACACTGGCTGATGTTTCGGCAGTGTCGCCTTCTTTAGAGTCTGGAAGGGTATACTGATATGCAATCTACTAGGCCAAACGCTTCAATAACACTTACAAAAAGACGACAAACTCTATGGTAATTACATGATCAACAGCTTTTCGAAAAACTCACCGCTTCCTACGTGACTTCCAATGAGGAAGATTAGAACACCTGATTATAGTCGCATATGGTCGATGACTGCACCGTCCCACATCAGAAATTGATACGAACACACGGAGTCAGGTCGCGTATAACCTTTGGGCATTCCTCCCTGCCATTCATTGCGGGGTTTTTGGCATTTATCCAAAAGCCTCAAGAAGTTTTCGCGCTGGTGTTTTCGTCTCCTGTGCAAGGATATTGACTTTACTTCAAAATCGTCTCCGCTATGCTTTTGTGTCCTATGCGTGCCTAGTGGAGTACTTTGTCTTAGTTTTTGTTTCCCATCTAGGTGCTCTTTTATACGGATACACAAAGGTCTGCCCGTTTCGCCAATATATTCATCTCCGCAATTATTACAAGAGATCAGGTATATCGTACCTGAGCTCATGCAATCACCGTCCCTACCGTAAGAGCAAATTACGCAATTTGTTGTTTCACACAGACGGTCATACAGGCGGTTGCGAACTAAGGCGACAACGTAAAGTAGCCGGTGGTATTTCAACTATCGCTACCGATTCCTCTAGATCTGCCCTTCTTAAGCATCGTTTTATAGCTGTGCTTACTTCATCGCTTATAAAAGGCAACACAAACGGGATTTTGTTTTGGCCAAGTGTTTCGCGTGGGAGCGTCGTTCTCTTTGTAAACTTATCTCGTGGGGTTACTATTTCGTAGCCATTGGAGATGACTAATTGCTGAGCCAAGTCGCGCGATTCTTCCTTTAGTTCCCTGGTAGTGCACACAGAGGTGGCTGTTCGAAACATTTTTCTCACAATCGCCCTCTTTGTGTGTGAAGGGTAGGAAGAAAGGAAATGAACAAGGATGTTCTTGTTGTTTGGCTTTCGATACCACTTTGTCAGGTAACTGCTACTTGATAGGTTTATTTGGACGTCCTCTCGGTTTCTCCCGGGTGAACTTTATGTATTCGGACTGTTCGTTCAATAATTCAAAGCATTTGTCCATCTCCTCCTGCGTAAAGAAGACGACAAAACAATCATCTACATATCTGCAGTACAGTAGTGGCCGGGGATCGAGAACAGAGGCTTCTATCTTAAACATAAACGCAATGGCAAGGCTTGGCGCCAATCGCTGTCCCATTGCCAACCCTCTTATTTGCGCGAAATATTTCCCAGACCATCTGAAAATCGAGCAGTTTAGGCACTCCTTTAAGAGAACCATTAGCTGTTGGATGGATAAGCCATGCATATTTATTCTTCCTTCATGTTCAACAAGAAGTTCGAAGATGACTTGCATTGTGGAGTCATTCGACACGTTGGTGCACAGTGCGGTAACGTCGAAAGACTCCATCACGTACGACCTAGTAGATTGCATATCAGTATACCCTTCCAGACTCTAAAGAAGGCGATACTGCCGAAACATCAGCCAGTGTTGTATTGCATTGTGTTTTTCTATGGAAGTAAATGTATGCTGTTTAAAAACTTCGAGATTGCTGAACAAGAAAACGACGCATTCATATTCCAACGCCGAGGTTAATAGGAAGTCGATACTGGGAGCTGAACTGTAATAATTAGAGAGCCTTTGGTGATTTGATGAACACTGAAAAGTCGAATGAAATCGATAAACAGATGCTATGAGAATTAAAGGAGAGCCAAGAAGTCGTCGTTAAGAAGTCTGTTATGAGGTTCTGTTACGTAACAGAAATGACCCATTTTTTTCCCGCATTGTAAAGCTCGTTGAAAATTTAAATCGAACTCGCAAACCGACGACGTTCAATCTCAAACACTTCTAGGATCTGAGCTTGCAGTTGAGGTTGTAGTCAGTTTATGCTTTACAACAGAATTTATTTGCCAGGTAGGAAAGTACTACCACCGAATCGATTTAATAAATCAAGGCTTCAAAACATATAGTCAGGTTTGGTTAACAGAAATATGCAGTATTCATGCACCGTGGCATTGGCCGAACACCTAACTCCGTGGAAGTTGAAGAAGTGCGGTAGGAAACCACGCCTCAGTCATCATATTTATGGGACCTATCGTCAACCACTTATCAATTTTTTTTCAAGCTCATCAATAGCCATTAGCTGAGAAAAAACAATCCTCTGCTAAAATTACCTTCGACTTATTCGTCACTTTCAGAATTTTCCAGTTCAAGATCATTGCAATGAGTAAACTGGTGAATTACTCACAAAATTTTGTAACTTTTCATGTTCTTTGCATGAAGAGGAGAGCTATGTTCAAACTCCATCTCAATAGTTTACCTCCTTCATCTTGGCTAGGTGTTCCTGGGTTTCGGTGTGCGATTCACAGCGGAGGATTCATCTCCCTGCAGGGTCTCCCAAGTTGAGAAGGAGTGTCGGGATTGCACCAGGAAGTCCAGCTAAGAGTAAACCAATGCCAGAATCTATCGCCTTCTTGACATCAAATTAGTCGCTTGTTGGCAAATCTCTCTTTGATACACAAAGGCGACGACTGACTGTGACCTGGGCGGACTTTGGCCATGCTGATATTGGGACACAAGGAAAATGCCATGCCTAAACCAGCAAAGCTCCGAAGAGTGGAGATTGCGCTGGGACCCGCACAACCAATGAGGACGTGCCGTCCAAGTATCCAAGTAATTATGTTCAAACTCAGTTATCGCAATCTCAACCCTTTTATTTACTGCCTTTTTTTTTCTTTTTAATGGCAGGGTATGTTGCGAAATACAATTCGTATATAATGCTGAGATATTTGCAAAACTCCAGACTGCAGGTGTATGCGGTGGGGAACGAACGCGCGCTATTGTCCTTACCGGGGAGTAGCGCACTTCACCACCACACCATCCGGGTCCTTCGCTTAATGGCAGGGTATACGCATACACCTGCGGTCCGGAGTTTTGCAAATATCTCAGCATTATATACGAGTTATATTTCGCAACATACCCTGCCATTAAAAAGAAAAAAAGGCAGAAAATAAAAGGGTTGAGATTGTGATTATAAGTCTGGAGCCTCAGCTTAACTGGGTTCAATGCCGATTTGGGCTCCCCAGATCAATCCCGTTGACGGGTGATTGCTGACGGCAAAAGATCGATAGAACTGGCTGAGAGACAGGCGAAACGAAGGCCCTGCATGGTGTGGTGGTGAACATGTTAGACTCCTGAAAGGGTAGTAGAGTGTTCGGTTCCCCACCGCGCATACCTGCGGTCCGAAATTTTGCAAATATCGTCTTTATTGCAACGGTATTTTTGCTGTTTTATACAAATTTTTACAATTTCCTTCATCCCTAGGTGATTTTGCTTTATTGTAGAGAGATAATACGAATGGGCGGTTTGGAATCGGAAAGCGATTATCCATACGACGGAAAGGGAGAAAAATGCCATATTGATCGCTCGGTGAGTGATTTTACACTATGAAAGGTAATGAACGTCTTCTGCAAAGGGATTAGGGTAACTGATATACAGCTGTCTTATCCAATAGGGTCACTTAAAGCTTTAACTAAAGTTGTTTTTCAAAGGAAATTGCCGTGTACATTAACGATTCTGTAGAGCTGCCGCATAACGAGGAGACTATGAGAGTGTGGTTGGTGAAGAAGGGACCGATTTCGGTTGGTGAGTTCATAACGAAGTCGAAATTTCTCTACAGTTATATTGTACTATACAGTAACTGTTTCCGCATAAATATGTCTTTATTGATTAACCCAGCGTTCAAACCTTTTATGCAATGACAACGATCATAGTTAACGTAGTTGATATGAAGCATTAGAGAAGATTACTCGGATTGCTGCTGAACTGATAAGCATCTCAGCTGTAGCAGTTAAGTTGAGGATGACTTGGTATTCTCAAGGACCATTTCAACATTTCAGGATGATTGTTCACAACTTTTCGAATTTTGTAGCATGTTTTGGCGATTCATAAGTTCTCCTTTGTTTTCTTAGTCCATTTTCGCGAATTTCTCCGAGACGATGCGCTCTATAAACCATCTATAAATGTTCTCACATGAAGCGAATACATAGGAAAATAAAGTTTTCGCTCTGTCACAGAATATGATGGCAGGACTTTTTGTGCAGGCCTATAGCTTTCTTTTATCTACAAATCCCAACGTTTCTTCCTGAAATCCTGGAAAAGCGTTGCTTGGATATTCTTAGCTGTTCGTACTAGACACTACACTGCTTTTGTGGACTGAATAAGAATAAGCATATTCCGGAAAAGTCTGATACCGACTTTCTTAGCTCGGAGAAGTGGGACTTGGTTGGCCCGGAACAAGGATGCAATCTAGGATAGGCGCTCCAGAGTTAGTGGGCAAGTATCTTTATGAGGTTTTCCTTGAAAAAAGCCGATGGACGCTCCTGGTATCGTGCTGCGATGTTTTGCAGGGTTAATCACGCGACCAGTACACTTAGCCTGGAAAGACTCCACTTTCCTATCCAGAATCCTGACTAAGAGTAGACCTGGATCCAAAAAAGCCTGACGAGCTTAAAATAATGTATTTATTGTACATTCAAGTGAAGACCATTGACGAGTACAACCACGACGCAGGGAAATGTCCATGGTCATCTGCCTTATTCAATGGGGAAATCAACAATCGTTTTGCTTCTTTACCTAACGATCCCAATCAGATTCTATTTTACTTAGATTATTGCGCTTCTAGTACACTTTTTCTTCTTTCACCAACTCTCTGTAGATCTTTTTTTGTTTTTGAGGTGGGCGGTTTCATTCTCTCGGTCAGAGAATTCCACCAATGTTTAACGAGTTCTTCCACTCCACTCCTCTTCTACTCTCACCAATGTCAATGTGATAGGAACGTTTGTAGTGTTTGAGTGCGGAAATCCGTTGACACTGTAGAAATTCAAACATGCGGATTTTTAAGAGGGAAACAATATGAGAACACTGGATCGTTAATGTTTGACGGAGAACGAAAAAATGCACACGTAGATTCTCAAAGTTTACTGACCTTGTCCCGATGTGATCTGCTGGCGTAACAAAGAAGCTCCATAAATTGTTTATTATGAAGTGCTCGATCCATCGTAAAATCCATACAACGCCAGCGATCAACGTTACCAATAGTGACTCTGTGCTTAAGGAAGTTTTTTCTCAGACATTAAGTTTTTCTAGATATGATCAGTAGATTCGAATGGAGTCATAATTTTTACCCGTTTTCCAAATTCTGATACTCACTCTCTTTCTCTCTTTAATGTTTCACCACCTTACGATGGGCCATCCTTAAAAGTGTCAAACCACAATATACAGCTGTGTCTTACTTTTCCCTTAAGGTTATTTAGGCTAACGAGGTGTTCGACATTTTTAACCTGGAACGTAGATGAGAAGAAACCTTTATAGTTCACATTTCCATCAGAGTCGCCTAAGGTAACAAGATGTTTGATATTCTTAAGCGGAAGCCCAACTATAAAAACTGATATGAAGGCATGCAAACTCTATGAGCTAACCATGGCTGTCTTATCCTCAGGAAGAGCGAAAAAATGGCTTCGTACCAAAAATATGGCGCCTATTCTTGCTATTTCAGTAACCGAAGCCCACTGAACAGCGATAATTATGAGGAAGAAGAAAGTTTAGTGGTACCGGCACAAGTTAATCAATGATACTTACTTGATACTTGAAACTTGAACGGCCCGTCCTCACTAGTTGTGCGCACCCCAGCATAATCACTTTTCGGAGACTTGCTGGTTAAGCCATTGTGGTTTCCTGGAAACTCGAGGACAGCCTGGCAAAAGTCTGCCTCAGGTCGTCACCACGACAGGCATTCGCAGCCCTCGTGAATTAGAGAGAGATTCGCCACCATGCGACTTTGATACCAGGACAGTGGTGTATTTTGGTATTGGCTTACCCTTAGCTATGTTTCCCGATGATAACGCCGGACTCCTTCCCAATTTGGGAGACCCTGCCTGAAGATGAATACACCGCTGTACATCGCAGTCCGACACCCAGCAACACCTCCCAGCTACGATGAGGCGGTAAACCGCTGAGAGGTAATCCATGATTAATGCTAGTATTGATGAACCCGAACAGTTCTATTTATTTAGATCTCGAAAGGCGTATAGTAACCGAGAAAATTGTGTTCTGATAGAGAGGTTTCAATTTCTGGCGTTCATAGTTGGCTTTCGCGCTTCTGTCGAGAAGTAATGGTTAACTGTTTTCGCAAAATTTCCAAGAATACACGTTTCCACAATTTGTACTACTTTGGAAAGTTTTTATAAGACAAAATTGTTGAAATTTTCCACAGTATGACGCCACCTCGTGTCTTCTACGATCACCGATTTATTCATTTCATCAACTCAAGACATTTTGTACGGATCAGTTATGCCCTGCGTTAAAGCTTTTTTAAAGAGACAAGCTCATTTTTATTAAAGAAAGCCTCTGCTAATTTTTTGACCAGTCAGAATTATTTAGAAACTTACGATCTTTTCGCTTATATCTATAAAATTTGTGTCGTTTCGAGTTTTGGGGACTATGTATGTACTGAAGGCACAGCGGTTTTTTCGAGAATCTGAAAAATATCATGAACTAAGATCGAAGGAGATCTCATCTGCGTTTTAGGGTTATTTTTAGCCCTTGATGACTACATAAGTCTTTTTTGCCTATAAGACCATTTTGTTTACAACATTATCTGTTTACTACAACAAATTGTACCTTTTTTCAAATTTTCTGGCGAAGAAAAAAACAATTTGAGCTTGACCCTTTCGCGTGCTTTCAAGGAATCACCTTACAACGTTGGTTTATCGTTGAAATCACAACACTTTAGGAATAAAAGAACAAAGGATGAAGCTCTCAGCGTTGGTCCATTCCTGATGGATGCGCGAAGCATTCGACTTCACTAGGCATCGTTTGGAGGTGATTGGATGCATATCTGGCCTTTACAATGATTCGCAGTGGCTTACCGATGTATCGAACTAGTGATGCTATCCTTCCAGACAAGTCTGGTACCAATTTGCCGACTCCGGAAGGTTGGTAAGCCATGGGCGCGGAGATCGATTCCACGTGTGTTGCAGGGCGCCTCCGACCACCGTGCTACATATACCCCTTTAGGAATAAATTAGAAAAACGAGAAAAATTTGCGTAAAAAAATGAAAACCGCCACAGTAGAGGACGGGCCAATTACTGCAAAAAAGGAAGTATTGCGACGTGGTGTACAACTACTAAGGTGATATCTTGGTTCAGTTTTATTTTAACAAAACAGGACAATTAGTTTATAAAAGGACGATTTTTTTTACGGAAGCTACCATAGCTTCAGTATTCTCTTTAAACATTGAGTTATCGAGACTGGACAAACGAATGAGTACAGACCGAATTGTCGGGAAATCAACTTAGGTGAATCGAATTCCTTCTAAGCTTACAACTTAGTGATTACCGTAATCTGGCCAACGCCTCGTTACCGACGTCAACTCGAGATCCGACGTTTATCGTATTCGTGGCCATTCGTTGCTTTCGATGATGCATTCCGAAATGTTATAGCCTTATAGGCTAAAGAAAATTGTCTAGGAGCTGTAACTGTGAAAAATTTATGGGTTCGATTGATAAAAAAAGGAACGAAAGGACGAAAAAGGAAACCTAGGTTACGAAAAACTAGCAAACTCATGACATGAATAAATTCAGTTTCTCACTAGTTGTTTTACTACCAAAGAAATTCTTTCATTTCAAAAGTCTTCTAAAGTTAATTCTTAAAGTTTTTCTTTTAACTTTTTTGGTTTCTGCATTATAAAACAAGCTTACAAAACAAAATAAGACAAAGCAACAAGTATATCAAGTTTGAAAAGGTCGATATAGCTCTTTTCAAATTTTGTATAAAAATAACGAGTCGTTCAGAAAAGAAGGGAATTTCTTTTCTTTTTTTTATTTCTCTTTTCCTTGCCTTCTTTTTTTTCTTCTCTTTCTCTTTAGAATGACTATTGATTGATTGCATGGTCAACCAAATAGATGTCATGTTTATTTGGTTAACTAATGATAGCAATACACGTAGGATGTGATACAGCCAGCTGTCAGTGACATTAAAGCTGTGGAATTCAGGTTTGCAAAAACCGCTTTCTTCCCGCCAAATATCTCAAAATCTTTGTGCTTTTATTTTTCACCTTAGCCTAGAGAGTTGCTGGTATTCATTTTACAATTTTTGTTTCCGATAAAGTTGTGAAGAAGATTTTTTATGTATGGCGATCCTTTATATAGATAAAGAGTCACTTGAGGCTTCAAAATGTTCCAGAAAGTTTTCCAAGAAGTTCTTCTTTAAAGGGTTTTCAAAAGTTTTCCAGTTTATTTCTTCTGCAGCTTTCGGGTAGCTAATGATCATGAAGCTCTGGTTATCATAAGATCCGCTGGTACGTATTTAAGCTCCACTGATTTCATCAACGAAAAGACGTTTCAAAAACACTTTAGAGATATATCTAGAAAGTCGGACTTGGGAGTTACTTTAGAGATAGTTCCTCCTCTTATTCAAATCAGAAAGAGTCTAGATGGAAGATGTAGCAGATAATTCTAAAAGGCGGAAGAAAAAGTGGTTGCGTTGGTTGGCACATCTGTCCCTAATCAGGGTAATCATAAAAACTGTCCGCCATTGATTTTGAAGTGGTTGGAATGAATCGGGTCGATCGGATGAGGAAAGCCATAGATTGATGAAAGGTGGATCGGTTAAGGAAAGTCGCCGTAGACTCGGATTCGGATGGGGACAGCCCTAGAATGACGAGAGGTGGATCGGGAGACGATAAGCGTAGACCGACGAAGTCCAGTACTTTGCCTTGCCGTCACGAAACCTGGGCAGGTGGATCATGTTTGACTTTCGGCGCTGAGACAACGATCGAAATCCAAACATAAGTCACAACTAAACTGTCACTAATACTCATATCGTGACAGGAGTTTTTTCTGGTGGATCTCTTTTTGTCGACAAAATGTCTGTTACCAAGGTGGTCCCATCTTCTCGAAAAAATCTTAATGTTATGTACGCATTATGAACTGTATCGAAATTTTGTCCATACAGAGATCATCAATGAAGAGTTTAGTTTGAAATGTATTTAGTAAGTAAAACGCATTTTCATGTCGATTCCTCTGCATCTTCACAAGATTTTGCCAACCTACCTTGGCACTGAACTGTTCGTTGATCTCGAGCTACGATGTTTACCAGCACGCGGATCATCTTGTAGCGAGAATGGCTCGTCATATCCCTCCAGCAGAGCATCTAAGAATTAGTCTATGCCAGAATTTGTCATTCTTTTAAGACAAATTCAGCTGCAATGCGGAAAACCACTATCGGGTTCAGAATTTCTTGTGACACGTCAAAACACGTGACGATCAGCTGAAACGCAAGGTACTCAGAGGATTCGCTAGAATGAAATCAGCAGCAGAACGAAAGTGCTGCGATAGATTGCAAAAGCGCAATGCCTTTGGTGTTAATCAATCTTTTATGAAAATTACATGCATTTCATTCCATTCCTAGCATCATAGATGTCATTCAATGTATATCTCACCTAAAAAATGTTTTGCGGTGGCCTACCGATTCTCCAAGTTAATCTGTCTATCTTCTCAGACAAATCTGCTAGCAATTTGCCAAGCTCGGATGTTGGAGTGCACCAACCTCGAGTCCGGAGGGACGAGAGATTTGGGCAGATCTTGGCGCATGATAGAAACAACGATCACGTGTATATTCCAGAGCAGAGCAGCTCTAACCTCTGCGTTGTAAGCCTTCCTTTCAGTCATTTCATTTCAGTTAATTGGCATCTTCAATGAGTTTTTGCCTTTGCCTTATTCTCACTCATCAATTATTCCGCAGGGTTCGTGTAGAACGGTGGTTGGAGGCGCTCTGCAATACATATAAGTTAGATCTTGCGCCTCAGGCTCGTCAAGCCTTCCATCTCTATTCAAGTCAGAAAAATGCTACAAGACTTGTCAAGGAGAGTGGTAGCACTGAGGTATAACACTGGTAGGCCAAAGTCAGTCATTGTATGGGCCAGATATGCATTCAATCACATTTAACGACGTTTTATGAAGTAGAATGTATGATGCATCCCTTATAGATTGGTCAGCACCGAGATCTTTATCTTTTTATCTCTTTATTCATCCTGACTCCGGCCACACAAACAACCATTTAGCTTTATGAAACCAACTTACTTAGATACTTGGGTGGCCCTTCTTCACTGGTTGTGCGGACCGAGCATAATTCTTAGTTCTTCGGAGTTTTGTTGGATTAACCACTCCAGTTTCCTGGAGTCCCGTGGTTAGCCTAGCCAAATTCTGCCTTACCTCGTCACCACCACATGCAGCCGCCGCCCTTGTGGATCAGAGGGAGATTTGCCATCATGTGACTAGTTCGATACAAAGGCGGTGGTGAGTCCTAGTGTTTGTTTACTCTCAGGTAGGCTTCCAGAGGAAACGTCGGACTCGTTTTCAGCTTGGGAGACCCTGCTGGAGAGACGAATGTCCTCGCTGTAGAACTCAGCCGGACAATCTGGGACACCTCTCGGCTACGATAAGGCGGTGAACCATTGGGAGGACTTTTAAGAAAAGGAAACTAAAATCATTGAGGTTTATTCACGGTTGGTGAACATGTATACAATATTGTTAAGATTCTATGGCAATTCTCACTTTTTCGGATGCATTCCAAGTAATATAATTCACAACAAGGTTTTTGTTTTCTTACTTGTTCTTGATGGGCGCGTGTAGCCCAGTGGTCGAAGGCACCCTGCGATGCACATGGGATCGATCGCCACGCGCCGGGCTTATCAATCCCTCTATCCCTTCAGCAGATTAGTATCAGATCTATCTGGGAGGAAGGCAGCACTGGCTCGGTACATCGATAGTCCGGCACAAGTCATTGTAAAGGCCAGATGTGCATTCAATCAACTCCAACAATGCTTGGTGAAGTCGAATACATGGCGCATCCCTCAGGGATTGATCAACGTCGATAACTTTCTTTTACTTGTTCTTGGTAATTAGTCAATGTTTGACCATATATATATATATATATATATATATATATAATACTACAAATATTAATAAGAATAAAATGAAATACTAAAGCGCATAATACGCTGTAACTAAAAACTAAGCACAAGTTTACTATNATAGTAAACTTGTGCTTAGTTTTTAGTTACAGCGTATTATGCGCTTTAGTATTTCATTTTATTCTTATTAATATTTGTAGTATTATATATATATATATATATATATATATATATAATACTACAAATATTAATAAGAATAAAATGAAATACTAAAGCGCATAATACGCTGTAACTAAAAACTAAGCACAAGTTTACTATGAAAACCAGATTGAATTGATAAACACAGTGAGTAACTGAAGAAAAACGCCACACGTATGCAAGTAGATGCTCACACATCACATATCGTGGAAGCTTAAATGCCTCTTCCAGTCGTATCCTTATGTAGAATCCGTCATCTATGAAGTTGTTTGGTTTCGTGTGTGGGTTCGGTTGCGGCCTGAGGGTTTGTAGCCTTCTCTTCTCATTTCCATTCTAGATGGCAGCTGAGATTGATATTTGTTTATATTAGAATTGGTAGGGTATGAGCAGCGTATTGGTTAGGGATTACCAGCGCTCATATCGTTCTTGGTTCCATTCCGCGTCCGTGTAAACCGGGTTCTTAATCCCTTCCGTGTCAGCAAATCGGTACCAGACTTCTATGGGAATAAAAAACATGTGTTTGATATATCGCTAAACATGCTCCATTCATTTTGTATGCGCCAAACATGCATTTAATCACCTCGACGATCCTACGAATGGAGTGGAAAGCACAGATCGTTATTCAGACCATGATTAACCTCCAGCGCTGAATGCTTTTATGGAAAGTACTGTAGGTCTAGTTAGGTCTTTCTGAAGTATTCACTATAGGCAATCGCCGATACTTATAGATCAGTAGGATCTTTATAGCGCTATGTTACAATTAAGATTCGTCTATGGCGAGCGCTTTCCTTTGGCCTAAAGAAATCGGAAAACGACGGCTATCAGTACATTAAAGTTAAGTTCTTCACATGTTCTTTTTCTCAGGCGTCAATGCGAATCCACTACAGTTCTATCGTCACGGTATCTCACATCCGTGGAAAATTCTCTGTGAACCGTTTATGCTCAATCATGGTGTGCTGATTGTTGGTTACGGTACGGAAAGACGAAAACCGTTCTGGATTATTAAGAACTCTTGGGGACCAAAATGGGGTGAAAGCGGGTACTACAGGTGGGTTTGACGAACTTCTATCTACTTTTTGACTTTATTCTAGATTTTTCCGTTAGTGTTTTTGCTGAACTGGTTACGTCGATTAAATTCTTTGAAACAGGCAATGAGCGAGCTCACAAAAAAGGTGATGAACAAGCCGGTCATCTTACTCATAGCGATTTTTTCATCATTCATTTAAATTCTCAGTTACATTTCTATATGTGTATTTGTCACCAGGATATTTTTTCTCTATACTTCCTTATTATAAAAGTTCACTAAATGTTGCAAGAAACGTGATTTTCAGACTATATCGAGGTAAAAACGTATGCGGTGTACAAGAAATGGCCACCTCGGCTGTTGTACTCTAAGCCGGTCCATCTTGCATGACTTCAGCCGCTCATCGAGCGCCATTTCGATCGATATCTATGTTTTTGCTGTGGTTATCGGAAGTTGTCCGACAATATCCATATTTCTGTAGGATTTGCTGTGATACAATTCATTATACCATACTTACTGCGGTACTTACTTATCATGACCTCGCCTCAATAAATGTTTCATACGTTCACCACCAGCAGATAAATTTGTGGACTTGCTTTTTTGACCTGTCTTTTACCTATTTCCCAACTATTTTTCAACGAAGACATGCTCAGATTCATGTTTTGAGTAGGTTGAGTTTTTTCAAGGAACGAAGTACGATGGATATTTTGCAATTTTTAAAGTCGTCTTCTTTTGTCAAGTAACTTATTGCTTGCAATTATTCTCTATTTTGTTATTCGTCGGGATTTTCTTGGTTGTCTAAGGAGCTGTTGTGCAGTACACTTAAAAATGGTACATACTGGCCCTATGGATAAAACTCTCGGCCTCGATCAATCTCAGAGAGATGCACCATGCATTCGACTTCATTAAGCATCGTCGGAGGTGATTGAATGCATAGCTGGACTTCACAATAACTAGCGGTGGCCTAGTGATGTATCGAACCAATACTCCCAGACAAGTCTAGTACCAATATGCTAAACTCGGAGTGATGGAAGGCTTGGTGAAACAGGTGCGCTGGGATCGATCCAATATGTGTTTCGCAGGGCGCCTCCAACCACTGCGCCGCACGCGGCCTATACAACTGTGCTGCAAAAATATCATGTTGTTTAATTAAAGAGCCCAAACATAAATTTCGCATAAAAATCTTCTTCAAGTAGTACCGTGTAAACAGGAAAATCCCTATGATTTTTGATATCTAAACATACTCGCAGTATTTATTCAGCCATTACGACTATCTAGAATTCTTAGTACATGGGCTACGATAGGTGTCGCATCCGACGCCCACGGAAATATTTGGATTTGTCGGTAGGTTGAGCTGCCACTCGAGGATTTTGTCTTCTTCATGGATGTCGTTTAATGCTGGTTATGTCGATCTTCGTTGGAATCTTAAGATAGCCGTAACTAAACGCTCTCAAGCAGTCGCCACTGACATTCACTTCACTTTGTAGATTTTAAGGTCCTTTAAACTAGTTAAACAATGTCTAATTCACCAAATACCAATGGATGGCAGGCCCGAAACAATGGTCATCCGTGCATTATTGCACGGGGAAATTATTGGGCTTTTCGCGCTCATTTGAACTAATAGGAGCTTCAGAAATTCAGAACCGAAAAACAAAATCAGTTCCTTCCCGGATTCTTTAGATAAGAGGTTTCTCAAGCTGGTATATGTTCACGGGTGTGTTCTTGCGTGTATGCTGATTGCATTCTTCACCGTTGCGTCAACTTAAGGCCCATTATCATGTGACGTGGAAGTGCACTGGATTCAGTTCACAATCTCAACAGGTAGGCTGCAGGAGCGTACAACATGTGTCATGCTAGTGTACCAAACATTAGCGCCTAAGTCCACAGTACAATTTCGCGCATATTATTCTCTGAATTAGATAAAGATAAAACAATTTATGAAAAAGTGTTCCTTGAGCGAGTAACACGTACTTGAATGCTCTGGAGTACGACTATACTGAACTATAACTCAACTAGTATGAGTTCTATCACCTCTAGTAGACCGTTTGGGTGAGTACATTCTACGAAATACTCTAGAAGAGGTTGAAGAAAGGTCGATGAAACCTCACGATTGGTTAGTTTCAAAAATAAGGAAAACTGAGAACGGAATAAAAAATGGCTCCTTGTGGTTTATCAATTCCTAGGAGAGAAGCAATGCATTCGATTCTATCTTAGAGGTGAATGAAAGCATATTTAGCCCATGGAATGACTTGCGGTGGCCTATCGATACTATTGACACTTCAAGTCATCGTTTATACCTTTGCAGATAACTCTCGTATCAATTTGCCAACTACAGATGAATGAAGGTCTTGATTTAGCAGCGGTGCGGTATCGAGCTTTAGACCACGTGTTTATCACTGTGTTTAACTCATTTCCACTACTGGTGCTGTAGACGTCGTGCCACTGATTACGATGCCCTTTCAATGCCTCAGTCAATATCTACTCACCAAAGAGATATCATTGTTTCTTATCACCGTCACCGTTCAACCGTTCACTTTTGTTTCAACGGCTGCTCAGGCTAAACCCAGAAAATTTCAGGTTTTCAACCCGTTCTTCGCCAATCTTCTGCACTTTCGACCAGCCCGCTACGGACTTTCAGTTTATTATTCAAATACAAAATTTCTCCTTTGAAATTTTTTATGACAACTACTGTCCGATAGGTGGCAAATACTGATCCTTATACGATAGAATATTCCTTTCATAGCCGTTATCGGGTTCCTTTTTATGGTGACATAATTTTCCAGAGCTCTAAACCTCTCTTTCTCATTGAAATCGCAGAATTTCTCTGAAAGTAGAAAATTCTACTTCGATGGTATTTCAAGAAATGAGAGAAGTTTTCGCAAATAATAATTTCTGGTCAACATCTCTACCAAGTTCTAAACTCCCCATGTGCTTTGCTTGCTAAAAATCATGAGCGATTGTCGAAAAACCAACTTCGTGCTCTCAAATGACTTGTGTTGATTCAGTGCTGAAAAGTCCTTTCAATAGAAAAAGCGAAAAAAATACTGTTTACAGTAGTTGTCTCTTCTCCTTCTTATTGTCTTCTAATGATTCCAAAACTATTAGACATTCGTTCGGATGTTCTTCGGAATTAGATGTGGCGAATTCATATATCTCTGATGATTTGTCTGTGCATCCTTTAGTGATTGCTGGCGCTCACTATGGTGTATCCTAAAGTCTCTACCTCCTTTGTTGGGAATTAATTTTTCTTTCCTTCCAGCGATTTACCGCGTCATCGTAACTGGGAGGTGTTTCTGGGTAACGAGCTGCGATGTACAGCGCGGATTCATCCTTTCGCAGGGTCTCCCAAGCTAAGAAGGAGTCCGGCGTTTCCATCAGGAAGTCTAGCTAAAAGTAAACCGACACGAGGATCCACTACCGTCCTGGTATTAAAGTCGCATGGTGGCAAATATTTCTCTGATCCACAAAGGCTGCCACTTCCTTTGGTGGTGAAGACCTGGGGCACACTTTGGCCCGGTTGACCTCGAGATTCCAGGAAACCACAGTGGCTTAACCAGCAAGTCTCCGAAAAATGACGGTTATCCTGGAGCCCGCACAACCAGTGAGGATGTGGGCCATTCAAGTATCGCGTATCATGTAATTTTTTTTTCACTTTCTCGTAACGGTCTGGTCGGGCCTTATAAATGTTTCCACAGAAGCGGTGGATTGCGAAACCATTTGTGTTGTTATTTCAAGAGATCGCCGTGTTAAGCGTGCTCTCGCAGCTATCATGTAGTGGTCTCTTTTTTGTGCTTCCTTTCAGTATGTACGGTAGCACTTATGACCTTTTCTGTTCGATCATTTCCTAACGAAATTACCGTACGTCCTCTCTTCATGCAATGGAATCAGGAAGATACATATCTATAATTTTCTTCTTAGACATCTGAACTAACCGTTGTTGCCGTAGAAGCAAATTTCCACATTTTCTTCTTTCTCAGGTACAATAGAATAAGGTGATTCGCACATTTTTTTCTCATCCTCGACAGCAAGTGGTTGACAAGAGCTTGCCGGTCGCAATGTTAACTTGTAGTTAACTGCCTACTACAATCTTTTACGGCAGAGCATTATACGAAATCAATCACAATAATGTTGAGATATTTGCAAAACTCCGAACGGCAGGTGTCTGCGGTGGGGGCGGAACACGCTATTACCCTTTCCGGGGCTAACGCTTTTACCGCCACGTTATACTCGTCGATCGTTTCGCCTTTCTCTCAGCTGGCTTCCTCTGTACTTGTTATCCGGTGTTTTGCAAATATCTCAGCATCACTACAGTTGATTTCGCACCATAGCTTGTCAAAAAAATATGTAGTAGCAATAAATAAAAAGCTAACATTGTGATTTCGACTGCAGCCTCAGTTTAACTGGGTTCAACGCTGATTTCGGCTCCCCAAATCAGTCTTGTTGATGCTGATAGCACTGATAGATAGAAAACTAGCTGAAAGATCTGAATCAACCGCAATGTTGCTGAGACATTTGCAAAGAATCCACATGGCGTGGTGGTGAAGGCGTTAGTCCTCGAAAAGGGTAATAACGGGTTCGATCCCGAACACTTGCCGTCCGGAATTTTGCAGACATCTCGACATCATTGTCGTTATGTTTCACATCACACCGTGTCATGAAGAAGGAGAATTAGTAATTAAAAAGCAACTACACTGTGCATAATGTTTTGCAGACTTTTCCTTCTGTTTTACACTCTTTCGTTACCCGTTAATACACAGCTCTCTCTCTCATAGTTCTATGCTTACAAGGAAACGATGAAACTTCTCCTGTTTCTTGTCAAGAGGCTTTTAGTAAATTGAAGCTTCATATTCGTGTTTGGATGAAAGACTACATTCATGTTTTTTTCCAACTTACAGATGCCAGGTTATCGCAATGGCCAACGATCACTGCTTACCGTTGACGACTTTCGTCTGGAAGCTGCGTTGAAATTGAGTAAGATGGCCAGCGATTACTATGAAGCAGGAGCTGATGAGCAGTTGACGTTAGCCCGAAATGAGAACGCCTACCGTAGGTCGTACTGCTTTCTCCTGATAACTTTTTCATGTTTCTATTTGCTTAGCATCTTTTTTGTTCAGTTTACTTATTTTTTTTTGTTCAGAGGTCTAAACAAGTTTACCTTCGGCGCGACACTTTGCGGACTGACATTATCTCACTTCTTCAAACAAAACATTTTCTTGTATTTTTATCACTACAGTGGCCGACTTTAAGCCGCCTGTAACGAATACTACAAGCCAAATTGATGAACCCTTTGGAATCAAAATTTAGGGGAAATGGAAAAGTGCGATACTATTGCGACAAAAAACACTTGGTGCTTAAACGACGAAGTGCCAGTTTCATGAGTTCTGTTTGTTTTAAACAACCCTAGTTACCGAATTGACTACAAGTATTTTACGGCGCATTTACGGCAATGGTTAGAGTTGCACTGCAATAAACACGTGGTCGTTAGTTCGATCCCAAGCTTCAGGCAAACCAAACTCTCCTTTCTTTCAGGATCGAAAAATTCGTACCAAACTTGTCTTGGAACAATGGGAAAAATGGAACCCTGACTTGGCACATCACATTTTCTACACATTTTTTAAAGGTTTTTCTCATACTGTGAAGTGAGACCGCCTCCACAATTGAGAATTTGAATGCATGAAATGACACGACTTCTCAAATCGACCTCTGTTAACTCAATAATCTTAGAAGGTTTTGAAAGGATGTTTTTCTAAGCTCTAGTGACTACTATTGCAGACTGCTCATTCGTCCACGATGCCTACAAGACGTATCGAAACCGGACACATCTGTAGGGTGGTTCGGAAGGAAACACAGGTCTCCGAGAACATGTTGAACAACTAGCGATAGGGTGCTGAAGTGGCTCGACGACTAAGCTATTGCCTTCAACGTCCTAGAAGCGCCTGCCCAATACTTTTAACGCCGATTGATCGGAATGAGTGGGGTCTCTTTGGGCCGACGACCAATAGCGGAAGAATGCGAACGACTTCAGCCCTGTTTTCGTTTGGACCTACTTTCTCATCCAAGATTTGTATCATTCTATCTTTCACGTATCTTATAGCATGAAGTAAAACTAGTTTTTTTTTCAGTTTTCCTATCGGAATCGCGCCAACAGCTTTTCATCGTATGGCTCATAAAAGCGGTGAATTGAGTACGGTGAAAGGTTAGTTGCTATGTAAACAAAAAATGAACATGTCATTTAACATTACTTGTGTGATAAAGCAATTCGCAACTTTTATCATTAGCACAGGACGCGTGTGGCGCAGTGGTCGGAGTCGCTCTGCAACACACGTGGATTCGATCCCCTCGCCCACGGCCCACCAAGCCTTCCATCCTTCCGGGCTGGGTAAACTGATACCAAACTTGTCTGGGAGGATAGCAGCACTGGGTCGTTACATTGACAGGCCACCGGTCATTGTAAAGGCCAGATATGCATTCAGTCACCTACCAACGATACTAAATGAAGTCGAATGCATGGCGCATCCCTCAGAGATTGATCAAAGCCGAGAGCTTGGTCTTTTAACTTTTTTATCATCAACACTTTGCTAAAACGATGACGCTAACTTTTTTGAAACTAGTATGTTAACAAATCATTTACAGAAGTACTTTGATAACTTTACGACAGTGATAATTCTGCTGTTGAGTTCCTCCTTTATCAAAATTAGGTGCTTCTATCAGCGGTTCCGTGATGATAGTTAGCTCCTGGTCAACGACCGCTATCGAGGAAGTGGCTGAACAAGCCGCGAACGATGGTGTCGAGTTGTGGTTACAGGTAAGGTATCGTATTCCGCTGGCCGAAACGACATGTTGTAAAGATCGGTACAAGGATAAAAGTACTTCAACATTCTGGATGTGGTAGCCGAATTAGTCATGCGTATAAGAATAGTGTTCAATCAAATAATAGGTCCATTTTTCGTGACTATATGATCTTACAATGTATAGCCTTTTTACTGCATATTATTTTTTCATGGCATGCTATTATGTGAAATATAGCCATAGTGATGCTAGGTAATTGTAAAATCCAGATCCCAGGCCAGATTCGAACCAGCGACTAGTCTTTCCAGGAGATCATCGCCGTACTATCGAGGCATTTGCTTTACCTTTCTCTCGGTAGGTTTTTTTACCCTAACGGTGCCATAAGAAACTGGTGGTCGTGGGTTCGAATCTAGCTTATGATTCGAGTTTTGGAAATATCTCAGCATCACAATTTTAACTTACTATTTACTACCTACTCGTTCTAATGCCAGAGTATATTGCGAAATATAACTTTAATGATGCTGAGATATATTTATTTAAATGATCGTATAAACTGATCTTCTTTAGCTGATGCGGTTGGTACAGGTCTTCGTTGTCGTTGTCGTTGTTTTTGATGTTATTGATCGATGGCTGAAGTTTCGGCGACTTCGCCTTCCTCATAGCCTGGACGTACTTTATGTTAGAATACTTTTTATTATTCGGTGGAAAAGAAGGTTAAAGTATTAATGAAGATCAAACTTTCAAATAGACGCCATATTGAACAGAAGGGCCACTCACCGTGATGTTACGTGCGGGACTGGCCCACACGTAGTTCACGTGGAGTCGCGAGCAAGACACGCCCAAGGGTCAAACTATCATTTTGAAATAGGGCGCCAGGCCACGCGTGATAGTGAGGCATTCGTCCTTCCGGTTCATCTTTGGTTTTTTGAAATTTATCCAAAACGCCTCGAGAGTTTTGCGCGTTGATGTTTTTGATTCCTGCGCTAGGATCCGCACATTCACCTCAAAATCATCGCCGTTGTGCTTTTGTGCTCTATGCGTACCTACAGGAGTGTTTAGACGGATTTTAGCTTTCCCATCTAGATGTTCTTTTATGCGGACACAAAGTGGTCTACCCGTTTCCCCGATATATTCCTCGCCGCATGCGATACATGAGATCAAGTATGTTATACCTGAACTCATGCAAACCCCGTCTCTCCCGTTAGGACAGATCATACAGTTTTCTGAGCTGCACAAACGATCATAGAGGCGGTTTCGAACTAACTGGCGGCGTAGGGTATTGGGTGGGATGTCAACAACCGTTACAATATTTTCAAGACCACTTTTTCTTAAGCACTTTTTAATGGCGTCACTTTCATTTGATATGAAAGGCAGCTTAAAGGGGATCCTACTGTCGTCTGAAATATTATTGTGGAAAACTACCCAACGTTTTCCTCTAACCCGTGTGGCTTCTACTTCGCAGCCATTGGAAATGGCAATTTTTCGTGCCAGGCTTCGCGATTCCTTCCTTTCCTCTTCTCCTGTACACACATTTTTAGCCGTACGATACATGTTTTTGATGAGTACTTTTTCCATGTGTGAAGGTTGAGGGGAGTGGTAGTGAACTAGTATATTTTTTTACTACTTGACTTACGGCACCATTTTGTTACATAGCCACTTTCTGAGAGCTTTATTTGGATATTCAAGGATGGAAACTCGGTTGGTTTTTCTCGTGTAAATTTTATATGCTCTGACTGTCGGTTTAATAATTCAAAGCACTCATCCATCTGTTCTTGTGTGGAACAGACGATGAAGCAGTCGTCTATGTATCGACAGTAGAGTAAGGGTCGGTGATCGAGAACTGGAGCTTCCACCTTAGACATGAAAGCGATGGCAAGGCTTGGTACTAAACGCTGCCCCATGGCCTACCCTCTAATTTGTGTAAAGTATTTTGCAGACCACCTGATGATTGAACAGCTAAGGCACTGTTTCAAGAGAGTCATTAGTTGAGCAATCGAGCACCTTTTACATTTTTATTTTCTTTTCGTGTTCTACGAGCAACTCGAGAATGGCTTGCATTGCGGAGTCATTCGACACGTTGGTATAAAGTGGCGTAACATCGAATGAGTCCATTACATGCGTGCTGTTTGGTTGCGCGCGCCGTAGGTGGTCTAGAAATATTTTGGTGTTAAGTAGACGGGTTGGAATGAATTTTAGCAACTGGGTCAGGATAAGGTTTAGGAACCACGTTATTCTATTCGTTGGCCCGCCTATACAGCTGATGTTAGGTCTAACTTTAATGCAGGAGAAGAGGAAAGGAAGGAATCGCTGAACCTAGCACGAAAAATTGCCATTTCTAATGGCTACGAAGTGGAAGCCGCTACAGTCGGAGAAAAACGTAGGGTGGTTCTCCAAAATAATGTTTTGGACTTAAGTAAGACCCCCTATAAGCTATCCTTTATATCAAATGAAGTAAGTCACGCCATTAAGAGGTGCTTAAGGAAAAGTGGTTTTGAAAATTATGTAACGATTATTGACATCCCACCCAATACCTTACGCCGTCAGTTAGTTCGCAACCGTCTCTTTGATCGTTTGTGCAGCTCAGAAAACTGTATGATCTGTCCTAACGGGAGAGACGGGGATTGCATGAGTTTAGGTATAATATACTTGATATCATGTAATGCATGCGGCGAGGAATATATCGCGGAAACGGGTAGACCACTTTTTGTCCGCATAAAAGAACATCAAGATGGAAAAGCTAAAATCCGTTTAAACACCCCTCTAAGTACGCATAGGGCACAAAAGCACAACGGCGATGATTTTGAAGTGAATGTGCAAATCCTAGCGAGGAAATCAAAAACATCAACGCGCAAAACTCTCGAGGCGTTTTGGATAAATTTCAAAAATCCAAAGATGAACCGGAAGGACGAATACCTCACTATCACGCGTGACCTGACGCCCTATTTCAAAATGATATTTGACCCCGGGGAGCGTCCTGCTCATGACTCCACGAAAACAACTAAAGAAGACAAGTTTATACGATCATGTAAATAAATATATCAACGATCTATGCTGAGGTTTATAGAAAGTCGGTCTTTCGAGATGCTGAGATATTTGCAAAACGCCGGACCGCATGTATCTGCGGTGGGGAACGAGCGCCCTATTGTCCTTTCGGGAGAGTAACGCGTTCATCAAAAAACCATGCGGGTCCTTCGTTTCGCCTGTCTCTCATCTAGTTCTATCTATCCCTCAGCAGTCACCTGAAACGAAGGAACCGCATGGTGTGATGGTGAACGCGTTACTACCCGGAAAGGACAATAGGGCGCTCGTTCCCCAGCGCAGTCACCTGGGGTCCGGAGCTTTGCAAGCATCTCAGCATCTTTAAAGTTATATCTCAACATCATTATAGTTATATAATTTTACTCATCAATGTCTGCAGAGCTCAACTTGAGCTCTTTAATGAACATCATCTCTTATATTTATATTCGCATATCTCTTTTTCTCTCTCTCTCTATATATAGTACTTTCATTTTTTAAAATTATATATGGAACGCAGCACAATGATTCAAAATGCTCTGCAAAACACATATAATCGTTCGTTCAATCTCGTGCTATGGTTTAACTACGTTTTTTATCACTTGAAATCGCTACCGGGCTTGTCAAAGAGAAGTCAAACATGCATTTAATCAATCGACGATGCTACTATTTAAGCTGAGTACATGGCACACCCTTAAAGGATTAATGAGCACCAAACAGTTCTACGAATTCTAAATACTCGTTCTTTAATTACCTCCCAGAACCAATATTCAAAGAAGGTTTCGGAGCAGTTAAACACATGACGAGTTAAAAGTTTTTGCTTCTTGTGGCCTGAGATTTTATCTATGATATTTCCAGCTCTACGTATACAAAGAGCGATCAATCGCTTCAGCACTCGTTTGCCGAGCTGAACAATCAGGATACAAGGCGATAGTTTTAACGGTGGATACTCCAGTTCTCGGAAGACGTCTAATCGATGCAAGGAATGGATTTACTCTTCCGGATGGATTAAAGTCAGATTACAACAAAATTCTATTGCCAGAAAATATGCACTTCACTTTTTAAAAATATATGTGGAAACCAAATATGGTTCATCGTAAATTTTCTCAAAAATTTAACCAAACAACTTAAGCGGAGTATAACACATACACGACCGCTTGACACTAAGTCGTACACCGCCTCGTTTGAGGCTTACAAAGGTTTCTAACGCACTTTTTGTATTCTGTCGATAGAGTGTCAAACGTAGATTTAATATTAGGAGTGGCTCATAAAAGGCTTTTCTCTACATTTAATAATTTATAAAAGGAACTTCTTGTGGACGAGGTCGTTTTGCCATGCAGTATAGAGAGTAGGGTCAGTGCAAAGGTACTGAAATGCTCTGCTTGAACATTGGAACTCGACACTTTGGAAAACTTCTCGTTGTGATAGATGACAACAAGATCATCCAGGAGACTTCTTTAGAGTGGCGTGGTGTTCAAAGCGTATGTGTTCATTGGTTAGATTCAATACGATTTGCATTTCGAAAGATTTATCGAGTCTTATGACGCTTTCACTTTACATTTATTTTACACTTTTTATTTAACTTACATGAGTATATAGTCGTCATCAAATGTTCTGTGCGGATACCAGCACTTCTTGTATTCGATCCGTTTCCTTTGCATTCGCCGTCCACAGTGCTCTTTGAACATTTTGAGCGTTGTTTCTGCTGCTGCTTGAATATTTCGTCTTCTTTACGATTGTTGTAGAGTGCTGGTCTAGTCGAATCTTGTTGCAGTTTTGGATATAGTCCAGCTAAGTTGCTCCCACGTTGGTTGGAAGAGTTTTAGGGAGGTGATCAAACCAGCACCTTTCTTCCTGCATCTCTAATCACACTTCTTACCCACAACCAGAAATCTCTACATGAACCTTGTCATCCTAGCTTATGGTAAATAGTCCTGAAAAAAATTTCGTACAGGTGATGTAGGCTTAGTGGGAATTATATTCAAACATTCAGAGAAATAATACTCTTTTGTAACAGCTCCCAACTGTTGCTAACCTTGCTGGCAAGTACTGTAACTTGTTCCAGGTTGTATAGCTTTCTAATATTTTTGTTGCAACCCGCCAATCTCTTCCTTTTGTGTCAATTGTTGTTTCCTTCAACCAAATGAGCACTCGACACTGTCGAAGAGTCCCACCTTCAAGGTAATGCCAATAAACGTCTATCTTAAAGTCATTTAGCCTGATTTTCCCCACGTTCTCATTAAATATCCTCAATGCGTTCACTGAGCTCGCATGAGCAAAAAAATATGTGTAGCATTTGCTAGACTTTATAATAAGTAACCAAGAGGTCGTCATCTGGTCGCTTGTTTCCACGAAAAGCTCTATCTGGCTGTCGCTTTCAATCACCTCCAGTTCTGATGATCTAGGGGAAATGATCGCAACGTGAGCTGTGGATAGCATAATGTCCTTTTTGCCCAGAACTGACCTTCTATTAATCTCGATACTGGGTTATAAATTCCGTCGTTTTCTTTCTCAACAACCGCGAGGTTGTTAAACAGCATATGTTTACTTCTTTACAAGAACACATATGACACAACGGTAGCTGACATTTCGGCAGAATCGCCTTCTTCTGTTGAAGCGTTTGACCTAGTTGATTGCGTATTAGTGTACCCTTCCAGGCTCTGAAAAAGGCTGTTTACTCCCATACAATAACATATGCAGCACAGTCGTAGCTGACGTTTAGGCAGCTACCACTGTGCTCTATGTGTTATTGTATGGGAGTAAACGTATGCTGTTTAACAACTTCGCGACTGCTGAGAAAGAAAAGATGAATTTATAATGTCATTATTTTTATCTCTCTGCTTTAACGCCATTATACTTCTCCGATTCTATTGTGCTACCGACTGTCCACTTTCGGCTGGTGACTTGTTTGGGGCGTACTCCACTATATCTCCTCCATCTACCAATGAGATGGGAACTTCTTCTCAATGTCTTCAGCTCGTGTGCCGACTATTGATGTAAATATGTCACCCTTCATCTGTCAAATCGGATAAGAGTTTGAAAACCACATGGTGTGCCACATCTCAATTATGAAGAGATCCCTACCAGTATATATTGGAATTTTATAGGCATCGCCACCTCTAATGCACAGTGTGAGCAGCTTGAGTTCGTATTTCTGCCTCCTATACGGGATATACCGCCGAAAAACGGCAGTACCTCTGAATGGTACGTTGGATTTGTCAATACATAAGTGTTTTGCAGACCTGCACACTGCCTTAGAGTTCCTGTTGATAAGATCGATTAGTGAGCCAATCATGCACAACCTATCTTGTAGGTCACATGAGTCGTTTTCCACAAAGTGCAGGGTTGCAAGCAGGACTATAAGCCTCATTCTCGTCATAAAAGGGGTTGCAACGGTAGGACATTAAAAAGGATTCGAACTCAAGTATCGCCTTAAATGTGCAGGCTGAGAATGGCCATCTTAAGACAAGCGCCGAAAAATTTTCTTATCTTGTGAGCACCTCCCAAGACACATCCCTATCTAAAGCTTATGTGTTCATCTACTTCACGATCAGTTCCTAGACGTTAGCCGTGAGCATCTCATAAAAATCCGGTTCCCGAAAGAGGTTGTGTGGTATTATATTATCTAACCACCCGTTACCGGCATCATAAAGAGGTTCATCTTCTCTCTGATTTGCTCTCTTCATTCCCTTCGATAGAAAGCACAGAAGGTCCCCTTCCAACTATTTCGTATGTCATCTTCATCTCCAACTTCTTTGTGGTCATATTTGAGGAAAAGCCAACTTAGTTCGAAGTTGAAGTCGTCGTCAGCTCAGCTGACATAATGGTAGAGATGGTGAAGAGGAAAATGGCAAACCGGATTTTTTTTACGAAGATTTTGATCCTAAATGTACTTAATATAAAAATTACATTTAGAAAAATTCTCAGTATTCTCAGTTCTACTCTTAGTGATAGGCAAAGTCTCCTTTACAGATTTGCCAAGTTAGCGATTTCGTGAGTCCTCCTGTACCGTATGTTAGCGGGAATTTTTAGAGAAAGCGTCATCATCGCTTGTGTAAGGCACATAAGGTCCAGTTCTTCGACAAGGAATTCAACATTTGTAATAGGTTGTGGCTTTCGTATAGGATCTGCGGATATAAGAAATGCCAGAACTCATTTCATATAAGCTGCAAAGTGCTTCCAAATTCTGACAGTAATGTGTTTAGCTGATGAATTAAGGGTAAAAAGGATAAAGCTCTCGGCGTTGATCAATCCATGAGGGATGCGCCACGCATTCGACTTCAATAAGCATCATTTGGTGGTGATTGAATGCATATCCGGCCTGTACAATAACTCGCGGTGGCCAACCGATGTACCCAGCCAGTGCTGTTATCCTCCCACACATGTCTGGTACCAATTTGCCGACCCCAGAGGGATGGAGTGCTTGGTGGGCCATGGGCGCGGTGATCGTTTCCATGTGTGTTGCAGGGCGCCTCCGACCACTGCGTCACACGCGCCCTTTGAGAATATGGAATGTAGTGAAATATAGTATATAGTGAGGACGTACTATTGTATGCGCAAAGCCTCTTCTACGGCTCTGTGAAGTTCTGAACCAAATAAGCGCCTATATGCCCGAACTTAATCGTTTATTGTGAAAAACACACAATTTGGCGGGTTTATTTCGCGTACGAATTCATGGTCCTTTTTTGGCCTCCGCGAAGTCAACGGTGGTCGTGTGCGTTAATATCATCGAACCAATACGATATTATAACAATTTGATCAAGCCAATGAGATCTGTTATTGCGTCAATGTTTGTTCCAAAAATAGTTACTAAATGCGGTACTTTGAAGTTGTTTGTTCCTAAGTCCAACACTCTTGACCGATCATTCCTACAAAGAAAAAATCATAAGAAGAATGTAGTTCTGCACAACATCATAATGATGACCACTGCTTCCTGACATTTTGCTCCTTCTATTAAGATTGCTGTAGAACTCAGCTATCGAAATGAAGCGATGATTCCGACTTAGTGAACTCGTTCACGCAAATTTCTGAACTTTTTCTCTTCTTAATCTGCTTTAATTTGACAATTTGGTAACTGAACCTGTCACGGAAATCCAGTCATCTCGGACAGAACAGTTGGCAACTGCTTTACTTGAAATATTCTAAATTGATCGAAGCAAGAAGAATTTTTCCTATCGTAATGGCCTTTGTGCAATTCACCAATGCTTCTCAGTAGTTGGGATTTCTTCTGATCTTTAACCTTAGAGTGATCAAACGGGTTCATTAAAACCAGCCACTTACGGATACGTTTTCTCCCAGCAAGGATAAAATAATCTCAGAGGATAAATCATAAAATCATATTTGATTTTGACACGTTATTATCAGGAATACAAACGGCATGCAGACTAATAGGGCGCGTGTGGCACAGTGGTTGGAGGCGCCACTGCACACACGTGAAATCGATCCCTGTGTCCACGGCCCACAACCCTTCCATCCCTCCGGGGTCGGCAAATTGGTGCCACACTTGTCTGGAAGGATAGGAGCACTCGCTCAATACATCGCTAAGGCCACTGCGAATGTAAAGGCCAGATATGGATTCAATCACCTCCAAACGATGCTCAATGAAGTCGAATGCATGGCGCATCCTGCAGGGACTGATCAACGCCGACGGCTTTATCCTTTATCCTTTATGAAGACTAATGACCACCACTTTCCTCCCAATCACTGCATACCTTCTTCATTCAAGATTCACTTTCATTTACCGCTCTTGCGATATTTTACTTTAAAAAAGTACGCTCAAAAATACCGTATTCTCTTAAAAATAGATTTAAAGTTCTCCTATCCTAAGACTGATATAAACTGAATATTTCGAAACCGACTTTCCTTTAATCTCGGTGTGACTAATCAACATGTATTCTCTCCTTGATTAGCTTACACGAGGGTGATAAGTATATTAGTGTAGCATTAGTATAGTATGGGGCATAACCGAGTAAGTATGCCTTATTAGAGGAGATGGCCCGCTGAGGAAAACCTGACTCGACACGAAGGCGAAGCTGCCACATCGAGACGAATAACAAGCGTGGGCCATCGATTGTGATCATTGGCTCTGATGAAGACGAAGACGTCGAAACATTAGCCGAAAATAAATATACTTATCAACATCGTGTAAGCTCATCAAAGAAAGAATACATGTAAACCGAATAGTTTTTATAGATTGATTAATACGATCTTTTTCACATAAAAATATTAATGACATCTACTGGGATAAACGGAAGAAATTTCCGGTTCGCCAACTTCGCATCGTTGAACGCTTCGCAAATGCCGAGCACTAAAGTTGGAGAATCTGGATTCATGCATTACGTCTCCAGTCAGATCGATTCCACATTGGACTGGTCTGTTGTAGACTGGTTGCTAAGGTCAACTGAGATTCTTTCTTTACACTCTAACAGTAGTTGAAATGTTTCAGAAAAGCTCCACAGCGCTCTTCGTCCTTGGTTGGAACTCCGAACTCTTCTTAAAATTTGTTATGTAGTGTGCCGACACGGATCTCCTTCATATGAGGGATCTCAAGCCGGTTAGTCGCGAGGCTACGTGACGCGTCCCCAGGTGGCGAATAGGGAGTTAATCGCGGACCAAAAGCGAACTTTGCTTCCCTGAGACGAAGCTGGATCCAGGGGATGGACTCCCTGTTTCTGCTGCTCTGATATGGCACATACTTTCTGTATTTGCTAGACGTATTCATGCATGCGTGAGTGGGTGCGTTCTTGCTTATGCGGATTGTATTCTACGAGTCAATTCGGCCAAAAGCCTGCAATCAAGTGACTGGGAAGTATATAGGAGACTGTTAGGAGTCGCCTCCAACAAATAAGCTCCATGTCCACTTTCGAAGAGCCTGGCAAGCTATGCGTGGGCATCAAAAATGCTAAACACAGTAAAAAAAAACAAGCCTCATTCCCTGACTTCGAAAGAGCCCCAATTTCGCAGCGTTGGGGTAGGACGAGTACGGAGAGGCTGCTAAAATCTCAGAGCCACCCGAATCGGACGTTTACGATTAAGAAGACGTGGATCGATTCCGGCTTTGACAATCTTCGTCGTTTACGCGCCGAAGAACGACTGAAGAACGTCACATTCGGACCGACGGATTAGAATGAAACGAACAGGGTGAGCGGCTATCTGAGTTTATCATGGCGACCAAGACAATCCATGGTAACTCGCAATTCTTGAAGCCCCACCCTCAGCGCTGGACGTGGGAGTCTCCCAATGGAGAGTTCCATAACGAAATAGACCACATCATAGTAAATAGAAGGTTTTGCCTAACCGATGTCGCTGTTGTCCCAAAATTCTACACGGGATCAGACTATCACCTCTTTCGTGCAAGATTCTATTTCTTGTGGAAAGGAGAAAAAGCCGCCAAATTCCAAAATAGGAGTCCGAGAACCACCGCAAACTGGGACTTATTCAATTCATTAGTCACTTATTGGGAAGGTGCCGTTGTCGATGACATCGACGAAGAATACGATCGGCTCACTCAACGTCTTAACGTTAGCGCTACGAAAGCTGAGAGTTCGAAAGTCACCAAAAGACGTTTGTTTCCAGAAACACTCGAGCTGATATTCCAACTTGGAATCGCACCAGCTGCAACGATGCAGACAGGCGATAAAAGAAGATCTTAAGGAGAGAAGAGCAGGAGTAATGGTCGAAGCTGCAGAGGCTGGGAAAAGCATTCGCAAAGTCCACCGAAGCTTCGCCAATTACAAGACCAAGATGATTGCACTTCAACGGAACAGTTACGGCGTCCAGAAAGGCAATGGAGAAAATCGTTCACGAATACTCCTCGGATCTATTCGATAACCACGTCCACCTTCCCTTATATGAAATAAAAGAGGAAGGATATGTTGCACCACCGGTTCTCCCTTCCAAAATCCGACATGCCATGTCGTCGGTGAAAAATCGAAGAGCACCAGGTTCGGACAGGATAAGATCAGAACACCTGAAAAACTTTCCGCCAATCCTCGTAAACACACTGGCTCGGCTCTTCACACAATACCTGTCTGAATGCAAGGCCCGTTCTCAGTGGAAGACCAGCAAGACCGTGTTATTATTCAAGAGAGTGACCTGTACGATATCGGCAACTACCGCCCAATCTGCTTACTGTCTGTCGTCTATAAACTTTTCACTCGAGTCATCCTAAACAGGATCGAGAGAACACTGGACGAAGGACAGCCATGTGAGCAAGCAGGGTTTCGAAAAGGATTTAGTACGATGGACCACATCCACACAATAACAAGGTTCCTTGGAGTATCACGACAGTACAAAAGAGCGCTCTGTCTCGCTTTCTTCGATTTACAGAAGGCTTTTGATCCAGCTGAGATAGAAGCAGTCCTGAAGGCCCTTGGAAACCTTTGATAGTCAAGGACTCCCTACTCAGTACACAAAGATTCTTCGTGAGCTGTACAAAAATTTCACAACCAAGGTATCGCCATTCTACAACGATATTAACATTGACGTAAAAAAGGGAGTTAGGTAAGCCGATACCATCTCGCCAAAATTATCTATCGCGACACTCCAGAACGTCATGCGAACATTGGATTGGGATAATATGGGAGTAAAAATCGATGGCCGGCAGTTACGCCATCTTCGCTTTGTTAATGACGTCGTGCTTATAACACCTTCGATTAAATCTCACAAAAAACGATGTTCATAAAGAACGGATTGGTTTCGTGTGCCACATTAACGCTCAACCGAACGAATGTCTCCGAATGCTTCAGTTATATCCATTTAGGTCGGGATATCAATATGACAAACGACTTAGCTCCACAGAGTTGAGCAGTAGGAAACGAGCGGCTGGAGAAGCTTTCAAGAGCATTGAGGATGTAGTGAAGAGAACAAAGAACACCCGACTCCGTGCCCATCTTTTCGACTCAACGGTACTTCCTGCCCTAACGTATGCGTCAGAAACCTGGTCTCAGCGTAAGCAGGTTGAAAAGTCACTCAGCGTTATCGAAGGAGCTGTCGGAAGGATGATGCTAGGAGTATCCCGTTTCACACAAGTAAGGGATGAGATGCGAAGCTCCGTCCTGCGTCAACGATCAAGAATCAAAGATGCCGTTCTGTACTCCTAACAGGGGAAGATAAGGTAGGCCGGACACGTAATGCGTGTGAACGACAACCGATGGACAAGAGCCGTTAGTGACTGGAATCCTCGGGATGTCAAACGTACTGCAGGAAGACCACCGACCCGATGGTCAGAGTTCTTCACAAAGAGCCTTGAAGAAAGATATAATGCTCGACGAGTCCCTAGAGCGAGCAGAACCCACTGGGCTACTCTTGCACGCGACAGGGAAAAATGGAAGATTTACTGACGCCCGCTCGAGCCACTCGACGATCAACGGGACTACAGGTGATACTATAATGTGCGGATGAGATCTTTCAAACGAAACTGCCAAACTTAACTATGGTTCTTTTCGCTGTAGTGACGGCGCTTTCTTGGAGTTTGCGAAGCTCTATAGCACTTTATCCCCAAATTAACCACTTATGTTGAGAAAAAACTTCAATATTTCCACCCTGAATGTTAAAAGTAAAGCGACATCAGTAAAGTTCTACTGTCTTGAGAGAAATCAATTCTCCAGGTGCAAATGTCCCTATGGTCTACGAATGCCGGCGAATTTATGGTGTTGAGGACGTGAGTGAACGCGGGAGAACGTAATGGATAAGGGGCGTCCAGTGTTGATCAATCCTTGAGTGATGTGCCATGTGCTCGATTTTATTAAGCATCGCTAGAGAGATTGAATGCATTTCTGGCCTACACAAACTTGCAGTGGCCTATTCATGTATCAATCCATTGATTTTAATCGCTGAGATAAACTCGGTACCAATTTTTCGACCAGGAGGAATAGAGTGCTTGATGAGCCTGGAAAGCGGTATCGAACCAGCACCTGAACATATCTGAGGAAATAAGCCTAATCTGCATCACTGCAGTGTCACGCTGAAAGACAACTCATGCCGGCCGACCGAAACTCTCCCGAAGAAAAAAAGAACTGGGTGCCTCGGGTTGCGGGAGAGATCAAAAAACAAAGCGGTTCGGAAATGTGGTTGCATGAATTTTAAGTGGGGGTGAAGAGGAGGGCCTACAAGGAAGATCTTTAAGGCGAATTATTATCAATCTCCATTCCATTTCAGGACAACAAGACTCCCAGTGCTCGTGAAAGGCATAATGCGAGGTGATGATGCAGACGAAGCTGTACGACGAGGAGTACAGGGCATCATCGTTTCGAACCACGGAGGACGACAAATAGACAGCGCGCCGGCGACTGTAAGTTCATGAAAACCGTTACAGTGAAAAAATGAACGTTCATGTTTAGATAGAGGTCCTGCCTGAAGTCGTACGAGCTGTACTAGGAAGAGTCCCAGTAAGTGAACAAATGTTCTTCCTTCTCACACAAAATTCTATGGAGCTTCCCAATTTGCAGATGTTGGCCACATTCACGCACATTTGCAAACGCTAGCACATTGTTTTTAACAGGAAGCACTCCTTTCATAGAATTTTGTGAAATTCACCTAAGAATTTTCAAACGACTCAACGGTTTAAATACAAAATTATTCAGATTTTGGCTTTTTAAAAGGTCAGATAAGCTAAGTGATACATGTAATCGATTCTTCCCGAGGAAAAAGCTGTCCCATGGCGAAGAAATATATCAGTCACAGAAATACAGCTGATGAAGCTGAGCTTTTCTCTCGGTTTCATAACTCGAGAAGGTAATTTTAGAGGGTAAATTCACATTTGGATCGAGAAGTGCAATGGCGGAAGAAATGCCGTGCAAAGCAAGGTCGCTTGAGATATTTGATCTTGCCAACAACCAAGCAAACTTCCCATTTCCCTGAAGTCGGCAAATTTCTATCAAACTTCCCTGGAAAAGATTCCTTGGACTCGCAAAGGTTTGCGATTGCCTAAGGCGAAGATCTAAGAGCTTTTTATCACAGCTGTCCGAGAGTTCCAAGAATAGATCTAGAAGGAATCAACTGGATAAACATATAACGACATCTATGAACAAGATAATTTCTCAGGCAGCAGCCGAACCTATGCGTAAGTGCAATGGTCTCCATGGATGACGAATGCTAGACTACGAATCGAATGAAGGAAGCACTGGGATCACCACAAAATGGGGTGTTTGGTCATGTAAAAAGTAAACCCATATTTAAGATTTGAAAAAAGACTTTCCAGAGAAATCATTAGAGGTTGCCGTTAATCCACGATACCCATCAATGTCGTGAACGTCACTCCTACATCACATAAAGTCGAACCACGTCGGAAAATGGGATTTTAGTTTCGTTTTGCGCGCTATCCCCTTAAGGTCTTTGGTTTCAAGTGTTATTCCTCTAGGATCTAAATTTCGAACGGATATCTGTTACAGTACCCGTTGATGTAATTGTTAAGGTGTTCATCGATGGTGGGATTCGAAACGGCCGTGACATTTTCAAATCGATAGCACTAGGAGCTAGTGGAGTGTTCGTCGGACGTCCCATACTCTGGGGTCTTTCGGTCGATGTAAGTCTTGTTCTCATAAATTTCTTAATCTCACGTAAAGAAACTTAACATCGCAAATAGCTAGCCAAGGCCGGCTTTAGCGCAATTGTCGAAGGGGCCTTGCAATACAGATGAGATCGATCCCGCGCAAAAGGCTTCACCGAACCTTCCATCTCTCCGAAGTGCGCAAATTGGTACTAGACCTGTCTGGGAGGATATCAGCACCGATGCGATACATCGTAGGCCACCGAGAGTCATTGTAAAAGCCGTATGCGCATTCAATCACCTCCAGCAATGCTTAATGAAGTCGAATGCATTGCGCATTCCTGAGGGCCTGATTAATGATGAGAACCTTATCCTTCATCCTTTTATTTAAATAGTCAGCCAAATTGTCCCTACTTTACAAAAAGATGCGAATTTCTCCACCTTTCCGTCGACAACAGATGAGCGAAATGTTTCGTTGAAGTAATATTTCCTTGGTAATCGTAATTGATCGGCACATAAATGGTTATGTGCATTGATATCAATGCGTGCATGGATGGGGAGTACTGAAGGTATGCAGTGACAGTAATGCAAGGAACAAAACCACAATTGATATGAGTACTACCACGCATAACTGATTCTCTCAACGAAAATAACGAAAATAAAAAACTCAGTTTCAGGGATCTCAAGGAGTAGCAAAAGTGATGCAAATTTTACAGGACGAATTCGTCCACACCATGCAATTAGCAGGTAGGAATTGTCACAGTTCGTTCTCGAAAAAAACCACATTCTCGACGATACGCGTTGGTTTCAATGCATACATGATCCGTACGCAAAAGACCTTCAAAGTCTGAAGGAAAATTAAAATAATGAACTCTGTTGATTGCAACCGTTATAATTCATACGTCATTATCAACAAGATACGAATTCACCCATCATACCAACGACTGTTAAATCCTGAATGTCTCAAGGCTACAAATTATTTCCTTTTCGCCTTTTCTCATCGAGGTTCGTATTGAAAGTTGGGGAACGAGTAAACAAGAGGAATTGCGTTCAGTATAGCAAACCCTTCCCCACGATTTACCGCCTCGTGGCTGGGGGGTGTAGCTGCACGTCGGACTGCGATGTACAGCGGGGGATTCGTCCCCTTGGCAGGGTCTTCTAAACTGAGGAGTATGGCATTTCCAACAGGAATTCCAACTGAAAGTAAACAAATACCAGGACCCACCACCGTCTGGAACCAAACCAGTCGCATGGTGGCAAATTTCCCTCCAATCTACAAGGGTGGCAACTGGCTTTGGTGGTGATGACCTGGAGCAGACTTTGGCCAGGCTAACTTCGATATTTCAGGGAAGCACAATGGCTTAACCAGCAAATCTCCAAGAATAGTGATTATACGGGGGTCTGCATAACCAATGAGGGCGGGTCGTTCACGTATCGTTGATGCTTACGGCTACGATACTTGCTTCAAAAAAGTTTATCAAATCGTTGCAAAACTTTTACAACGCTTAAACGAAAAGAATTAAAATTCTCTTACACCTTATTCATATGATATGAAACTTCGCATATTATCCGAATAACAGCACGTCTTCCACACAATCCGTTATCTCACATCCGTCACTCAAGAATGTCTTCGGATTTGGTTGTGTCTCGATTGCGCTAAAGAATCTCGTACATTTCATGAATTTCATCGAGTGCTATGCGAGTACATCCTTCCTGGAATGGTCGGAAAGCTCAACAAGAGCGCTCTTAGGTCATAATCACAGAGGAAGTTTTCAGTATTTGGTCATCGGAGGGAGCATCTTCTAAATATCCTAGTTATCAAGAAATCGGTAGCTATCAGAAAACTGGTGTCATTGCAAATGTGTTGAAAAATACTTCTTAACATCTTATCCTATTTACAGGCTGCCGTTCAATCAACGAGATTCAGAACTGTAAGGAGATTGTTGTAAATAATCATTATTATGCAAAGCTATAAATGTATAACTTGTTTCGAGTTACAGCAATTGCACGAAGTCATACTGTCATTTGCGAACCTGTGAAATTTTCAAGTGACAAGACGTCAAAGTTTGGGTCTTCACCATTCCTTAACAACTTTGTCATGAACTCGGTATGAAAGCATAGAACACTGGTCTGGTAAATAATAATTATCAGTGTTAACCTAATCAACAGCAGATTCCTATCAAACTATTCATCGTGGTTTTGAAAACATGGAGTGTATTCTTAGAGGAACTACAACATAACATACTTCCTAGTGCACCTTCCAGTTACTATTTGAACAAGCAGCAAGGCCATTCCTCCTATCAAAGAGTTCTCGGACCAGTAATGGCACTATTTTATTCCCCAATTCTGCGGCGTATTCGGAATATACTCAGTTATTTGCGGATATTACATAAAGTATTTACAGCTGTGAATGAATAAAAAGAAGCTTATTCAACGTTAATGGGCTGACTAAAATAAACACGTTCGTGTAAAATATGAAATGCACTAATAAAACACAGAAAGAAAATTCTTGCACGAATCAGACCAAAAAGAATAACCATAAAATAAGAAAAAACAGTGTTACTCGTGTAGCAGCGATCAAAGAATATCCAGTCAAAGTTCATTGATAATATGACAACCAACCGACTTAAAAAATTGAGAGACCAGTAATGGGCATAGATTTCGAAATAGGGGAATCAAAGAGAAGAAGTGTACGAAAACAAACAGAACCGGATAGTTACTCGTGTAGAGGTAGATACAATCAGGCCGGAATCTTCGGAAGACCAAACTCGTCAACCTCTAACCCTTCGGCCACCTGGAATAGACTGAAATTGCTTAGAAGAAACAAAACGGCAGAAAGGAAACAGTTATATAATAAACACTACTACCTTAGAACTTGTAGGCTTCGCTGAGGGAACTCCTGGTGCACTGAGAGCCTCGTCCAAATAGTTTGTGTCAGTTTCACCAAGGTCAAGCTCGTCTCCTAGCAATGCTAGCTCAGCTTCAAGATCAGCTTCGTCGATCTAAAAGAAAGTCGAAACATTCTATAGGTAATATGCTCCTCCTATAAATTTATTATGAGTTCAGAAGAATGCATTCAGCAAAGTTACAACTTCATTACTGGCTAAGATCCTAGTCAGAATTATTTCGCGGAAATGTACTGCGCAAATACCACAATGACGCTAAAGGCTGCAGATTGTCTCATTATGAGTGTTGTCTTATATAAATACATTTTATAACAAATCTTCTTTGGTGATATTACTGCTGCATGCCACATTAAAGTCTACTCCTTTGAGAATTCACCATGTCCCCGTTAAATTTAAATTGAAAAAACCTGAAGATGGCTGAAACCATGCTCTAAAAACAAGGAAACCACATTCCATGATTTCGAACTTGGACACACGTGGCGGAAAAATGGAATGTATATGCCATGGAAGAACCTCTCAATGCATGGTACAGATGGTTCGGAAGGTTTCGTCTTGAAAACGTGAGCCTTGATGACGAGGAAGATCATAACCGAAACTTACAGGCAGAGAGAGAGAGAGAGAGAGAGAGAGAGAGAGAGAGAGAG